TGAATATAGACAGTTCCTTAGTCTTGACTATAAACAATTCTATAGTCTAGACTATAAACAGTTCTATTGTCTTAACTATAGACAGTTATATAGTCTTAACTATAGACAGTCTTGATTATAGATAGTTCAATAGCCTTGACTATAGACAGTTCTATAGTCTTGACTATAGCCACTTCTATAGTCTTGACTATAGATAGTTCTATTATCTTGACTATAGATAGTTCTATTATCTTGACTATAGATAGTTCTATTATCTTGACTATAGACAGTTCCATTATCTTGACTATAGACAGTTCTATAGTCTTGACTATAGACAGTTCTATAGTCTTGACTATAGACAGTTCTATAGTCTTGACTATAGACAGTTCTATAGTCTTGACTATAGACAGTTCTATAGTCTTGACTATAGACAGTTCTATAGTCTTGACTATAGACAGATCTATAGTCTTGACTATAGACAGTTCTATAGTCTTGACTATAGACAGTTCTATAGTGTTGTCTTTAGACAGTTCTACAGTCTTGACGATTAAACTTCTATAGTCTTCTATAATCACTACTGTAGACAGTTTCATAGACTTGACTATAGACATCTCTATAGTCTTGATTACAGACATTTCTATAGTCTTGACTACAGACATTTCTACAGCATTGACTACAGATAGTACTTTGGCCTTAACTATAGACATTTCATAGTCTCATTATAGACAGTTCTTTAGTTTTGACTATAGAAAATTGTTATCCTGAGTAAATACAGTTATATACTTCTATTGTGTTGAATATGGCATTTCTATTGTCTTGAATATGGACAGTCTGAACTAAATACTAAACCATAGATAACTCTATAGTCTTATCAAATACAACAGCTAAAACATATACAGTAGTTTTGACTACAGACAAATTAATATAATGACAGTTCTATTGTCGTGATTATATAGAAAAATGTATAGTCTCTATTTTAGATAGACATTTTATATTTTTGAATACAGACAGCTCTATAGTCTTGATTATGGAAAGAATTAAAAAAACATATATAACCCTAATATTTCCATAATAACTTTTTTTTGCGTTATATCTTAACACGCTGCACTTTGTTGCTTTCAGCTTATTTCGCACTCCTCATCAGCATCATCATTCCCAGTGCAATTGTTTTATAGGGTTCAAATGTAAAATTTAAACATCATTAATCATAAAAAAAAATAGCGACACAAAAAGATAGACACATAGTACAACCAATAAAAGTGTGACTTTTTTCATCTTTGTAATATTTTATTTATAAGGTGACCATTGACAGATTTTTATTATAAATTTCACATAAATCACGTTAAATTCTTTTAATGGCCTGACTGTTTTACTTGAAAATACATATTTTTTGCTTCTTGTTGGAATTTTAATGTATAACATTCATTGTATTCGCAATAATGTCATAATAAAAAAAAAATTTATAAAGTAGCTTTTTGTAGCTGTTTATTTAAAAAAAAGTAATAATAAATAAAAAAGATGAAATAAACATTTTCAGAAAACAACCACATTGATGAACTCAATGACCTGCGGAGGGATGGACAGACGGACGGACGGTATGACATTTATATATATATAGATTTTTTTATGATTTTTGGTCAAGTTATTAAATAAATATGGACGTGTACAAAAACCATGGTGTATATAATTTTACTGAGGATGTTTATTTTTATTCACCCTACAGGAGAAGCTATTATGAGCTGTTATCTAGCATCTAATTTAAAGTATAGCTAATGACTTAGAATCACTTATTGAACTTGTCTTAAATAGAGGTCTAATCCAGAACCATTAAATATTGGAAATTTCAAACTATATCTTTATAGGGGTCCCGTTGATTCGTTAAAGTCTACGCTAAGTTGAAAAAACAGCGTTATTATGCTTGTTAAAATATTTATTTTTGCTACTATTTCTGTTACAAGTGTTATCAAATAAATTAGTCATGGCCACCATAAAGTGGGTCCGTCTGTCCATCAGTGAATGTTTATATTATTATTTTTTTATACATATTTTTCGTATTTGATACTTTACAAATCATAAAATTTTATGTCAATTTTTTTCTACCACCAAGGCTTATAAAAATTTGCTTTCATAAAAAAGTAATCGCAGTAAACAGTATTGGTTGTTACCCTCCTAAAGCACCTGCTTTTTTAACCAAATCAAAAATTTGAACAGCTTGTGCTAGTTATTAAATATAAGGGGTTGCCTTTGCGCCTCCAAATAAAATATCTTGTCTTACATTTATAATACATTTTTTAAATGCACTTGAAAGTAATATGTTTTTGCTCTATAAATTTTTTTATTGTTATTAATATATTTCTACCCCCGCACAAAATCTCTAAAGGTATTTTTGAAGTCTTGGCAATTTTAAAAGTTTTTAAATTTCTTGTACAAAGTTGTTGTTTGTGTGAAAGAAAAAATTATAATTATAAATTTTTAGAGTGTGTATTTCGCTCAAAGGCATTTACATTTTTATATTTGAAATTTTAATCAATAAAATAAATTAAATTGGTTTTTAATTATGAAATTAAACAACTAGGAATATAATTTGAGTGGTTTGTATATTTTTGTAATTTTTCTTTGCTGTCGCTATTAAGAAGTTAATTTAAATTTTTAATTAGAAATATTTTTTTAGGGAAAGTTTATTTGAAATTTCTTCATATTGGGTATACAACAGATAAATCGTCTGGACTATAGACAGTTAAATAGTCAGGACTATTGGCAGCTCTATTGTCTGGATTATAGGCAGTTCTATTGTCTGTACTATAGAGAGTTTTATAGTCTTGACAGTAGAGAGTCTTAAAGTCTGGATATAGACAGTTCTATAGACAGCCAATAGTACAGATTATAGAGAGTTCTATAATCTTGACTATAGACAGTTCTATAGTCTTGATTATAGACAGTTGTATAGTCTGGACTATAGACAATCCTATAGTCTGGACTATAGACTGCTCTATAGTCTGGACTATAGACAGCTCTATAGTCTGGACTATAGACAGCTCTATAGTCTGGACTATAGACAGCTCTATAGTCTGGACTATAGACAGCTCTATAGTCTGGACTATAGACAGCTCTATAGTCTGGACTATAGACAGCTCTATAGTCTGGACTATAGACAGCTCTATAGTCTGGACTATAGACAGCTCTATAGTCTGGACTGTAGACAGCTCTATAGTCTGGACTATAGTCAGCTCTATAGTCTGGACTATAGACAGTTCTATAGTCTGGACTATATACAGCTCTATAGTGTGGACTATAGCCAGTTCTATAGTCTGGACTATAGACAGTTCTATAGTCTGGACTATAGACAGTTCTATAGTCTGGAATGTAGAAAGTTCTATAGTCTGGACTACAGACAGTTCTATAGACTGGAGTATAGACAGTTCTGTAGTCTGGACTGTACACAGTTCTATATTCCGGTCTACAGACAGTTCTATATTCTGGTCTACAGACAGTTCTAAAGTCTGGATTATAGACGGTTCTATAGTCTATACTATAGACAGTTCTATAGTCTGTACAATAGACAGTTCTATAGTCTGGACTATAGAAAGTTCTATAGTCTGGACTATAGAAAGTTCTATAATCTGGACTATAGAAAGTTCTATAGTCTGGACTATAGAAAGTTCTATAGTCTGGATTATAGACAGTTCTATAGCCTGGACTGTAGACAGTTCTATAGCCTGGACTATAGACAGTTCTATAGCCTGGACTATAGTCTGAACTATAGACATTTTTATAGTCTGGACTATAGACAGTTCTATAATCTCGACTATAGACAGTTCTATAATCTGGACTATAGACAGTTCTATAGTCTGGAATGTAGAAAGTTTTATAGTCTGGACTACAGACAGTTCTATAGTCTAGACTATAGATAGTTCTATAGTTTGGACTATAGACATTTCTATAGTCTGGAATGTAGAAAGTTCTATAGTCTGGACTACAGACAGTTCTATAGACTGGAGTATAGACAGTTCTATAGTCTGGACTGTACACAGTTCTATATTCTGGTCTACAGACAGTTTTATAGTCTGGATTATAGACGGTTCTATAGTCTGTACTATAGACGGTTCTATAGTCTGTACAATAGACAGTTTTATATTGTGGGCTATAGACAGTTCTATAGTCTGTACTATAGAAAGTTCTATAGTCTGGACTATAGATAGTTCTATAGTCTGGACTATAGACAGTTCTATAGTCTGGACTATAGACATTTCTATAGTCCGAACTATAGACAGTTCTATAGTTCGGACTTTAGACAGTTCTATAGTCCGGACTATAGATAGTTCTATAGTCTGGACTATAGATAGTTCTATAGTCTGGACTATAGACAGTTCTATAGTCTGGACTGTAGACAGTTCTATAGTCTGGACTGTAGACAGTTTTATAGTCTGGACTATAGACAGTTTTATAGTCTGGACTATAGACAGTTTTATAGTCTGGACTATAGACAGTTCTATAATCTGGACTATTAATAGGTCTATAGTCTGGAATATAGACATTTCTATAGGCTAGAGTAGAGAGATTTCTATAGTCTGGAATATAGACATTTCTATAGGCTAGAGTAGAGACATTTCTATAGTCTGGAATATAGACAGTTCTATAGTCTGGACTATAGACAGTTCTATATGGACTATTGATAGTTCTATAGTCTGGACTATAGATATATTTAAATTCTGTTCCAAGATATTGACCTATTAAATTCTAAACTGTAGACAGTAAACTGGAATAAAGTAATACTTGAGGTATTTTGATATTTTTTCTATAACATTTATTGTGTTCTATTTATTTTTATATCCCAAAGAACTACAAAAATAATCTCAATCAAAAACACATTCACTTTTACTTTTATATTTACAAATATTTTATGTCAGAGTATTTATCTGCTTTATAGTCATTCACTTTCATTGCTTTCTATCTAACTTATTTCTGGTTTTCTGCAACAAATATTTTCTTTGTAACAATAATTTTCGTTTCTTTTTTTACAGCTTTCCGTATTAAGTTTGGAGACTTTTCCATCTAAGTTGATTAAGAAAGTTTTACCGAATATCAGTAGAAAACTTCAATTTCTGCTAGATGCTTATAAGTTTGTTTGCCAAGAAGAGGTAAGTAAGCAAGTGGGTAAGTACTACTCACACTCACTCACTCTCACACAGGATAAACAATGAAATTAATGAACAAAATAAAATGAAAACATCAGCAGGATTAATACAATATGGAGGAAAATACTGCCAGCAAAATAAAAGTTATTGATGGGAAAAAACAAAAACATAAGAAAAGTTTAATTTTTATTTTAAGAAGATTATTATTGAGTTTAATGCAAGAAATTATAAGAAAAAGAAAAATTACAAAAAAAAAAACAAACTCAACTTTTGATTTGTTATGAATTGTGGAAGATTTGAGTTAATTGCAAGATTTATGTTTTTGAGAAATTGTTGTTGTAGAGTTAATAAGTAGCTGAACAAATGCTGTTTTATTTAAAGATTTTTTAACGTAAAAGAAAAATTAAACTTAGTAAGCGTGTTTAAAGAAATTGTTTCTACATTATGATGTGCACATTTAATAAATATTAATTAATTAAAAATTTTCACATTATCGTATTTTTGTATTAACTTTAACTTTTATACTTTAGAAATTGTGGCCAAAGCTGCATCCTGAAGTTATGCTAATGGATTATCTTTTCACAAGTGAACGACAAATACCCACCGATGTAGCCGTGTTAATTATCTCATGTCTTATAGATCTCCAAGAAGATTTTCGTTATTATGTGAAACGTGCATTTATTCGATATTTACTCAGGTAAGTTTCTTCTTTTTTTTTGTAGTATAAAAGAAGACCGAAATGAAAATACCATTGCAAAAATTATTGTATTATAGAGAAAAAAATGAAAAAAACAAAAGTTAAAAATTCTTGGACGAGTTGAAAAAAAATATTTTAGTACAATATTTATCTACCCGAGAAGTCACACTATTGACACACTTAAGATTATAGTTGTAAGGCTGGGTTTTACAGATCTTACTAAGGGAAATATAACTACACTTATGATTAAAAACTTGTATGAAATTTTTAAACTTAAGTAAAAATTTTGTCCTAAGTGCGAACTATAAAATAGACCCATAATAGACTTTAGTCTGAATTACAAATTTGTCTGGTCTATATAGCCGACCCTCCTTAGCTATAAACTTAGCAATGATAATGACTATAGGCGGACTTTAGTGGAAATTGTAGTACTGTCTGGAGACTGTAGTGTAAACTATAGAGCTGTCTATAGAAGAGACTATAGAAATGACTATAATCGAGATTATTAAACTGTCTTTAGCCGAGACTATAGAAATGTCTATAGTCGAGAATAAAGAACTGTCTATATTCTAGACTATAGAGCTATATAGACAAGACTATGAAACTGTCTGTAGTCAAGAATATAGAATTTTCTATAATCAAGGCAATAGAACTACCTGCAGTCAAGAATATGGAACTGCATAGAGTTATGACGATAGAACTATCTATAGCCAAGATTATAGAACTATCTGTGGTCAAGACTATAGGTTTATAGTCAATACGATAAAAATGCCTGTTGTTTAACTGTATAACGTCAAGACTGTAGAACTGCCTGTAGACATAACAATAGGACTGTTTATACTATGGATCTATTTATAGTTAATACTATAGAACTGTCTATAGTCAAGATTATTGAACTGTCTATTGTCAAGATTAAAGAACTGCTTATAATCACAACTATAATCAAGACTATAGAACTACGTGTAGTCAAGCCCATAGTATGGTCTATAGTCAAGACTACTGAACGATCTATATTCGAGATTACCGAACTGTCTGTAGTCTAACTGTATATAGTCAAGACTGTAGAACTGTCTAAAGACAAAACAATATAACTGTTTATAGTCAATACTACAATACCACAGAACTGTCTCTAGTCAATACTACAGTGCTGTATATAGTCAAGACTATAGAACAATATATACAATAGAAATATCTGCAGTCAAGAGAGACGAACTATCAACAGTTATGACTATAGAACTGTCTATAGTCAAGACTATTAACTGCCAATAGTCCAGACTATAGAACTATCTGTAGTCAAGACTTTAGAACTAATCAAGACTGATGAACTGTTTATAATCACAACTATAGAACTATCTGTAGTCCAGACTATAGAACTGTCTATAGTCAAGACTAAAGAACTGTTTATAATCACAACTGTAGAACTATCTGTAGTCAAGACTACAAACTGTCTATAGTCAAGATTATAGAACTGTCTATAGTCAAGGCTAAAGAACTCGTTATAATCACAACTATAAGGCTGTATATAGTCAAATATCTATAGTCACTAGCATTGAAGCCTATAGAACTATCTATAGTGAAGACTATAGAACTATCTATGGTCAAGACTATAGAAATATCTTTAGCCTAGACTGTTAAATGTCTTAATAAAGACTATAAAACTGTCTATAGTCAAGGCTATAAAAGTGTTGACTATAAAACTGCCTATAGTCAAGACCATACAACAATCTATAATCAAGACTATAGAACTATCTATAGTCAAGACTATAGAATTATCTATAGTCAAGACTATAGAACTATCTATAGTCAAGACTATATAACTATCTATTGTCAAGAATATAGAACTATCTATAGTCAAGACTACAGAACTATCTATAGTCAAGACTATAGAACTTTCTTTAGTCAAAACTATAGAACTGCCTGTAGTCAATACTATCAAACTGTCTATAGTGAAGACTATAGAAATATCATGTCAAGAACAGTCAAATCTATAGAACTATATATTGTTAAGAACTGTCTGTAGTTTAGGCTATTAAACAGTCTATAGTTAAGACTATAGATCTGTCTATAGTCACGACTATAGAACTGCCTGTATTCAATACTATACAACAGTCTAAAGTTGAGACTATAGAACAGACTATAGTCAAGACTATAGAACAGTCTATAGTCAAGACTATAGAACAGTCTATAGTCAAGGCTATATAAATGTCTGTAGTCAACACTTGTCTATTGTCAAGACCATAGATCTGTCTATAGTCAAGACTAAATAATTGTCTGCAGACGAGACTAGAGAATATTAATAAGTTCTATTATCTTGATTGTAAATTCCCTAGTTCAAACCACCAACCTACACAAATGTATTGTTTTAAAAAAATATGCTAAATAATTATAAATTCAAAATACACACTTTTAAGATTTAAAACACCTGAACCTGTGCGGTGAATACCCACAAACAGTAATTTCTTATTATTGACAACATAAAGCTTTTTGTTTTTTGGAAAACTAAAACTTTGTTTGCTCACGGCTATGACCGTATCTATTAACGACTATTATTTCAAAAACAAGGAAATCATTTACTAGTTACAAAAAAAAAAAAAAGCTTCTGATATAGTTGTACAAGATTTTGTTACCTAGGATTTAAAATTATTCGCTAGCACAAACACACATATACTTTTAAAACAACATAGATATACTTACATACCGTATCGTAGAAGGAAGTACATGAAGCAACAATAAATCGCCCAAAGGACTTGTAACCAAGTTTGCCCTTAACTGCTGCTGCAGACTACTTAAAACTTAAGACATTAAAAGAAAAATCTATTTATATCTCAACATAAAATAAATGTACGAAAGGTAAGTAAAGTAGGGAGGAAGAGGAAAGATAGCAACATAAGGTAAAAGTTGAAGGCAGTAAACACATAAGTTTAATAAGTTGCACGAACGTACTAAAATGGGGAAAGAAAGGTGAAAGGAAGTGGAAGGTAGTAGAAGCAACAAATATGTAGTTTTTGTAGCGCACACAAGCATAAAATGTAGGGATTAAAACACTTTCTTATCATGTGATTATAGTTTCAATATTTTACTTAATTTTTTTATATTTTCTTATACTTTATATATTGCAAAAAACAAAAAAAAACGGACACTTATAATACTTAAGATCTCCATTGGAACGTAAACGTTTGCAATTGGAGTTTGAACCGCCTGAATTTCCCATTATGACCATACGAGCACCAGTACCTTGGAAAGTTTATGTACAATTAGCACGAAATCATTTGGATCAAGTACTAATGACTACACATCCCGTTATACAAGCTTTAAATTTACTCTGGCATCAACTGTAAGTAGTTTTTTTTTTTCGTTTTATCTCAATTCGTAGTTTCAAACATATATTACTTTTTGTAGCAATAGTTTTTCTTTTATTTTTAAGTGATGACAGTTACATGTGTTCCTTGAGCATGGACATCATGTTTTAGCCGTAATAATTTTGTATTTTTTATACGCAATTTATATAATGTATATTTTCTTTACGATTTCTTTCTCCCCTCCTAACCCTGCACACGTTTTTCCCCAGCTATAATGACTTGGTTATTGTTGATGTTTCCAAGATTATTCTACGTGATATACCCATGAATGCCGATGAGTTAATAAATTTCATAAAAGAAAGTTGTGACACTATTAGAGATGTAAGTGGTTTGTATGAATGTCTACTAGATATTTCCGCAATTACTTATTTTGTGGACAAGATTAAGTTGGTCATCAGCATCCACTACTCATATATATATATATATATTTGTTAAATGATAATTTGTAGTTGTTATTGAACGATTGGATACCTCGTTGTGCTGATATGATGGATGTAATGCGTAAAACTTGGAAGGATTTAATACCAATGCGTGGCGGTTATGGTGGACGTGCAGCCATACTTTTTCGTTGTGTACATGCTTTGATGTCACATCATTTGGAAAGCTTAATCACTAGAAGTTTATCGTACTTGTATAAGACTTTGGAGGATTATTTGGTAAATTTGATAAGTTTGTTTAATGGTTTTTTATGTAGAGTTTTTTTTTTCTTGATTACCTCTAGGAGGGCAACGATGTTGTTAAATATAATATGCATGATCCTAAATTAAAGAGACGTCCTTTAATGACTCTGATTGTATCTGTTATTGGCACTCACTTTGATAATCCCACTAGAGAAGATATACCTGCAGAACATACAATACCGGCCATATATGAAGATCATGAAGATGATGCTGATCCGTTTTATAAAAGACCGAGCGTAGTGTTAGTGGAAACGGTAAGTAATAGTTATCATGATTACCCCAAAATATCTTTAACCGATATTGTCTATTTGGAATACGAAACAAATGTTATTACCTTACGTTCAGACCCTATAGTTAAAAAAACTTATATACATATAAACAGCCAAAATAATGTTGCACATACCTGAAATGAAAGTGAAAAAAAAATTATTAAAAAAGTTCAATATAAAATTTTTGAACTATTTTATTTATAAATAATATTTTCAAATGAATTTTATATTTTATTTATATTAATCTTTACAGCCAGCCCTAGAAGTTGATAATCTAAGTAAATTTCTTTTAAAAAATAGTGGTAAATTTCATGCCTTTCCCTACATAGGATCACTGCCAGAATTATTTATAGGCATTTTTAAAAGTATATTAAGAGTGGGCTATGAGATACCACGTCTAGAGTATGTTATGTCAAATGGTAAGTGGCAAACTAATAAAATAATTGTTTGATATTATAATAATAAAATATTTGCCTTTTACAGAACCGGAAACCTTTGGTTATTTACATTGCATAAATGAAAATCATCCTGATATTATACTGCTTTATGACAAGATACAAAAAATCGTGGAAAATAATTGGCGTGGTCCTATAGTATATTTACTGCCTATTTATAAATACTACTATCCCTTGCTATCCAATAAAATACAGCCAATAGTAGAGAAAATATTTGTGCAACATATTTTACCAGATTTGGTGGTAAGTTTTCATTATTATGTGTTATACTGTTTTACAAAAAAAAAAGTTTTTTTTTTTTTTTTGTAAATTTTTAATTGTAAATGCAATATAAATAATTGAGAGTATTAGAGCGCAAAAATCATAGATATTAATTGAAAATAAATTTAATTTTTATTTAAAATTTATATTATTTATTTATGTTTATTAATAAATATAATTTGTTCATATTTATTGGATTTTTTTCTTTGCCTCACTTTTTCCCTTTTACTAAAATTTAAATGACTTTTTAATCAACTGTTAATTATGTTGCCAATATACATATAAAGCGAATGTGAAAAAAATATTTTAAAACAAATATTTCGTTAGAAAACGCTGTCGCAAATACTAAATTAGTTAAAATTTTAAATAACAACCAGCACTTGGAAAAAAATCCTCATTTATTTAATAAAGTTTATGTGAAATTGCACATCAGACTGACTGGCAGTTTAAGCCACACTCAGCAGGATGTCAGTTAAGTTTTGTTATTCAATGAACAAATTTAAATTTGTTTAAGTGTACAATTTGGTAAATGTATTAAAGTGTTATAAAGAGGGTTGGTAATGAATAGAATTTGTTTAAATAAATGTTATTAGCGAACAGACATGGAAAATTTAGTACTGTTGAACTTTCTTAAAAATTTAGGCACAGTATTTAAAGAACATTTATAAAATTTATTAGCTGTGAAATCGATTGTTGTATACTAACTAACTACTAACTAACTACTAACTAACTAACTAACTAACTAACTAACTACTAACTAACTAACTAACTAACTAACTAACTAACTAACTAACTAACTAACTAACTAACTAACTAACTAACTAACTAACTAACTAACTAACTAACTAACTACTAACTAACTAACTAACTAACTAACTAACTAACTACTAACTACTAACTAACTAACTAACTAACTAACTAACTAACTAACTAACTAACTAACTAACTAACTAACTAACTAACTAACTAACTAACTAACTAACTACTAACTAACTAACTAACTAACTACTAACTAACTAACTAACTAACTAACTAACTAACTAACTAACTAACTAACTAACTAACTAACTACTAACTAACTAACTAACTAACTAACTAACTAACTAACTAACTAACTAACTAACTAACTAACTAACTAACTAACTAACTAACTAACTAACTACTAACTAACTAACTAACTAACTACTAACTAACTAACTAACTAACTAACTAACTAACTAACTAACTAACTAACTAACTAACTAACTAACTAACTAACTAACTAACTAACTAACTAACTAACTAACTAACTAACTAACTAACTAACTAACTAACTAACTAACTAACTACTAACTACTAACTAACTAACTAACTAACTAACTAACTAACTAACTAACTAACTACTAACTAACTAACTAACTAACTAACTAACTAACTAACTAACTAACTACTAACTAACTAACTAACTAACTAACTAACTAACTACTAACTACTAACTAACTAACTAACTAACTAACTAACTAACTAACTAACTAACTAACTAACTAACTAACTAACTAACTAACTAACTAACTAACTAACTAACTAACTAACTAACTAACTAACTAACTAACTAACTAACTAACTACTAACTAACTAACTAACTAACTAACTAACTAACTAACTAACTACTAACTAACTAACTAACTAACTAACTAACTAACTAACTAACTAACTAACTAACTAACTAACTAACTACTAACTAACTAACTAACTAACTAACTAACTAACTAACTAACTAACTAACTAACTAACTAACTAACTAACTAACTAACTAACTAACTAACTAACTAACTAACTAACTAACTAACTAACTAACTAACTAACTAACTAACTAACTACTAACTAACTAACTAACTAACTAACTAACTAACTAACTAACTAACTAACTAACTAACTAACTAACTAACTAACTAACTAACTAACTAACTAACTAACTAACTAACTAACTAACTAACTAACTAACTACTAACTAACTAACTAACTAACTAACTAACTAACTAACTAACTAACTAACTAACTAACTAACTAACTAACTAACTAACTAACTAACTACTAACTAACTAACTAACTAACTAACTAACTAACTAACTAACTAACTAACTAACTAACTAACTAACTAACTAACTAACTACTAACTAACTAACTACTAACTACTAACTAACTAACTAACTACTAACTAACTAACTAACTAACTAACTAACTAACTAACTACTAACTAACTAACTAACTAACTAACTAACTAACTAACTAACTAACTAACTAACTAACTAACTAACTAACTAACTAACTAACTAACTAACTAACTAACTAACTAACTAACTAACTAACTAACTAACTAACTAACTAACTAACTAACTAACTAACTAACTAACTAACTAACTAACTAACTAACTAACTAACTAACTAACTAACTAACTAACTAACTAACTAACTAACTACTAACTAACTAACTAACTAACTAACTAACTAACTAACTAACTAACTACTACTAACTAACTAACTACTAACTAACTAACTAACTAACTAACTAACTAACTAACTAACTAACTAACTAACTAACTAACTAACTACTAACTAACTAACTAACTAACTAACTAACTAACTAACTAACTAACTAACTAACTAACTAACTAACTACTAACTAACTAACTAACTAACTAACTAACTAACTAACTAACTAACTAACTAACTAACTAACTAACTAACTAACTAACTAACTAACTAACTAACTAACTAACTAACTAACTAACTACTAACTAACTAACTAACTACTAACTAACTAACTAACTACTAACTAACTAACTAACTAACTAACTAACTAACTAACTAACTAACTAACTAACTAACTACTAACTAACTACTAACTAACTAACCAACTAACTAACTAACTAACTTGACCAATCCATATACTGCTCACAAACTAGTTCATAAGCTAGCCGGCCCATCAGCTAATCAATCACCATTCAATAACACAGTCCACTGATTAGTACATAGACTAGTCCATAGACTAATCAACAGAACAGACCACATTTTCTATTGCAATGGAATTCAGCGACAGGCCCCACATATACCAGTGCACACATTAGTACATAGATTAGCGCAGAGACTGGTGCGTAGACTAGTCAATAGAATAAGCTATACACAATCCCAGAGAAAAGTCAAAGGACTAGACCATACACTCATCCATAGCAAAGTCAAGGGAACACTTCATGAACCGGTAGCTAAGTTAGTCGAAAGACAGGAATTTGACTAGCCCATAACAAAATTAAATAGACTAGTCAATGGGATAATTTGGCTATTAAATCGATTGGCTATTTAATCGACTAGTCAATAAATTAATCCATAGAAAAGGCTATAGGTAAGTCAATGGATCAGTCCAAAAAGTAGTCAATGGACTAGTCAGTGACCAGTCCACAAACTACATAGTCAATAGAATAATCCATAGAAAAGTTAATAGACTTGTTCTTAGAAAAGTCAACAGATTAGTACATAGACCAGACAATAAACTAGTCACCGGAATCCAAATCCTGGAATCGAATTTTAATAAAAAAAATATTCTGTAATAAGTACAATTGCAATTACAATTGAAATGGAAATGTAAAATTTCTGAAATACATACAATTTGAAATTTCTGAAATAGTTATAATTACAAAGCCCTGAAACACAATTGGAATTGGTGTAGTCATTTCTAAATTAAAATTTTCCATGTCTGTGTAAAATTTAAATTGCAGTAGAATTAAATTTCAATGGAATATATGTATGTGAATTTGCGTTTATTATAAGAATTCTAAATAACTTCAATTATGTTTGCTAAAAACAAAAACTCATAAAAAGTAATCACTACTTATTACTAGGTAATGCTTATTTTCATAAAAAAACTATTTAAATCTTTTTTCTCCTAACATTCTCAGTAAAATTGTTTGTTGCAACTTTATTTCCTAAAATTTTAATTTATTACTCTTTTACTCACTACTGTTTTGCATTTAGTTGCCGTCAGTCTGTTTGTCTGTCTGCCTGTCAGTCAGTCTAATGTTTTTACAACTCATACACAGTTTTATAACTTTTTCGCTGAATACATTTAACAAACTGTTGTACATGTATATAGTATAAAATTTTACTCTTACAAGTGCATAGAACCTGAAGCATAAAATATGTTTAATTATTTAATTTCAATTTCATTATGTTCAATGATGCATAGAATTAACATTGAATTTAATTATAAATCAAAAATTACTCAAAAGACGGATGTGAAATTATTAAATTCAAAATAATAATATGTTAAAATGGAAATTTTGTTAAATGGAAATTATAACTTAAAATTAAATAAATCATAGTTAAGTGGGGAATGTAATATGTAAATTAAATACTTCAATGGAAACACAGAAAAATTCATAAAAAAAATTAAAAAATATTTGTGAAAAAATCACCAAAAATTAGTTTAACATTTTTAGTTTCCTCCTTCCGCCCGCCTGTCTGTCTTTCTAATTCCCCATACTAGGATTCCTGATGTAGAACATTCTATGGTCGGACATGTACGACTATAACTTCTGACTTATTTATGACTATTTAATCAATAATTACGAGTTTGTAATAAAAACCTATTTACTACTGTCATAAAGCTATACAAAGTTCAAAATCCCTTTTAACTCTAACCAGCCTGAGAGCCCCATAAAACTTTTACTTTGACTATAATAAAAAAAAATCTCAACTCTAGAAATAAAAAAAAACTTTGACATTTACACTAACATTCAGTTCTCATCAATATAATTTCGCCTCTTACATATAAACATAAATTTATTTATTTTATTATTAACAATTTTTTTATCTCTCTACCCAAACCTTTTCTATTTATCCCTTTAACATCATTTTTATACTAGAAATACTTATGTATGTGTTTTTCCCCCCCTTCCGCTTTATCGTTTCAGTCAATTGAAAATGTTATGAAAAAACTACGCTCTATTATTGAGGAAACATATATTTTACGTGATTTTATACCATTGAATCTGTTCATGTTGGATAATCGTCATGTTAAGCAATCGGTTGCAATGTTGGTACAGAATATTTATGATTTTATCATTGACTTTTATATGGCTGTAAATCTCAATGAAAATCGTGCGTAAGTAAAACAAAAACAAAAATAAAATTAAATTTAAAACAACAAGTAAATATTTGTAGTCGGTCACGGCCGATCCTATCATATCCTGCACCAGTGAGTATGTTCAAAATGTTGCTTATTATACCCTTCACCTTCGTGAGAAGGGTATATAAATATACCTTTGTCCGTTTGTAATTTCTACAATATAATTTTCCAACCCTATAAAGCATATATGTATATTCTGGATCCTTATAGATAGCGGAGTCGATTAAGCCATGTCCGTCCGTCTGTCTGTCTGACTGTGTGTGTTTTGAAATCTATTTTCTGAAGACCTCAGATATCTTTGGGATCTCAGTCTTCAATAATTTCATCTAACATGCTTTCGAGAAGTAAATAAGGGGCTATCTTTAAACATTTCGGAAGTTGGATTTATTATTGATCTTCAAGTCATTTTCTGAAGGGTCTTTGTATAGGGTTGAATGAGGCTCGATCACTATGAAAATCGGGAGTATCATTTAGATTTATATAAAACTAAGTTTTGCCGATTTTTGTTAAGATACTATCTTTAAACATTTCGGAATTTGGATTTATTATTGATCTTGAAGTCATTTTCTGAAGGGTCTTTCAATAGGGTTGAATGAGGCTCGATCATTGCGAAAATCGGGAGTATCATTTAGACTTATATAAAACTAAGTTTAGCCAATTTTTGTTGAAATACTAGAAGATTTAACATAATTAACCAATTTGAATAGACTTCGTCCTTGGGTCAAAAGAAGAGTGTGTGCTGGATTTCACTAAATTATCTTGGAAATTGCGACCTTTAGCGTGCGCTCTAGGTTTACATGGACACACCGACGGACAGACAGATGAACGGACGACAGACAGACAGACGGACGAACATTGCTAAATCGACTCAGAAAGTAATTCTGAGTTAAGGTGGCCGTATTACCAATATTTTTAAATTTAAGTTTAAAATTCGAATATCTTCTAAGCTATAAGAGATACAGCTTATATAAAATCAACAACAAATCCAGCTCCTTTGAAATATGTAGTTGTTGTACTTAGTCTGTTTTATATAAAATCTACATAAATACAACAAGAACAAAACAATTGTTTTGTTTTTTTTTTTAAATCTTAACAGTAGAATTGGGGTTGGAAGATTTATATGATGTGGAGCGTTATTGAGTCGACACTCATTCTTTGGAACGGTTCTGGAACTAGTTCTTTAATCAATGATGTTCAAATTTGACAACATCGGAACTACTCTCCTGGGTGAGCTTCTGTGACGACTAACCACCGCCCCATTGTGCTTCTTACATGCAGGTAGCAATTTACGTATATGGAAGTTCCGGTCCAGTTTACGTGCACTGGTCATTACTGCCCCGTTGCTTGACTTCCGAGATACAAATTACATCACTTCCGTTTACAACCACGCAGATGGCATGGTGTCTGTTGAGTCAACAACAGCACCTAGACCGAAGTACGAATCCATCAAATAAGCCGAGACTTTGTTCTTACTCACAGTGACACACTGTGGTAATTCTGGCATGAACAGAGTTTGCTCTCGACATACCTGGACAAGGAAGGAAAATTTATCCGACATACTCATAAGAGAACAACATACGATACACTTATTCTAGGTATACGGTTTGGCAAGGCCGGTATACCCCTACATTCATCCTGTATTATATACAATTAACACCAACTCATTTCAAACGCTTTGTCCTACAGTCACTCCTCCGTTGTCATTCGGCAAAAGCACCGAACTTATCCCGAAATATAGACTTCGCCGTGTTTCAGTCTTTTAAACGCAACTTAGTTTTCCCGCGAATTTGAGTTTAAATCACAGCCACTACGTGGATCCCTAAGGAACCTCAACCAACTCACCAGCCAGAACACTGTCCTGCGGGCAACTGGCCACCCGTAGTACCAGATTATTTGGTTCTCTGTTTAGACCCCATGTCAAATCATACCAAGGACTAGCCGAGGAGTGAAGTGACATCACCAGTTTATAGTCCCGGCAGATTAGAGGTAGTACATCTTTGCCCCGGGATTGGTAAAGATGAGGGTCTTTCATCAAGGAAACATGCCCCGGGGGGATTCTTATATGAAAGTAGTATTTGTGACTAGTAAGCTTATAAATTTTTAATAAAGGAATATATAGTTTTCATTTTCTTAATTAAAAACATTCACTATCTGCCTACTGAAATACACAACTTTACGTGATGGAAGAGTAACTTGGGCATGAAAAAAAGAAGTACAATTTTTCTTTTTTTTTCCTGTAATTATCATTTACATGCCACATTATATTAACTGGCTGACATGTCTATTAACTTGAATAATGTTGATTTAATAAAGTTTCTTCTCACTCTCATTAAATGTAAGTATTGTGCAAATGTATATACTGACCTCATCACATATGTATGTGGGAATACATATGTAGAAGTTGTCGGGTATCCCGGAAATTTTTGCTAGTATTTTAGGTATCCTTCACAGAAAGAAAAATCTTATACCAAAATTAGAAGCGATTTGGATTGATCAAACAAATCGATAGCAAAAATTCTTAAATAATTAACTTTTTTGAAGAAGTGGTTTGAAATCAAGTACGAATCGAGCTCAAATCAAGCACATTTTGGGATTAATTCAATATTTTAAATTTTTAAGTAAATTTCATTTTTATGTCAAATCAAGTATAAATCTGAGCTTAAATTAAAGCAAAAATTGTCCAAATAAGTATATTGTAAGATCACTTTGATATATAGGAGATAGGGTGAATTATGGACCGATCCTTATAAAATTTTACAATGATATTAAGGTTCCTATAAAATATGTTCATGTCAAATTTCATCGCTGTGGATGCTTCTTTAAGGCTGTTATGAGCTTTAAAGTCATTTTCCGAAGGGGATCTTATATGGGGGGTAGGGGCAATTATGGACCGATCCTTATAAAATTTTACAAAGCTATTTAGGTTTCTATAAAATAGGTTCATGTCGATTTTCATCGCTATAGATGCTTCTCTTAGACAGTTATGAGCGTTAAAGTCATTTTCTGAAGGGGATCTTATATGGGGGGTAGGGTCAATTATGGACAGATCCTTATAAAATTTTACAAAGCGAATTAGGTTCCTATAAAATATGTTTATGTCGAATTTCATCGCTATAGGTGCTTATTTTAGTCAGTTATGAGCGTTAAAGTCATTTTCTGAAGAGGACCTTATATGGGGGCTAGGCGAAATCGTGGACCGATATTGCCCATTTTCAATACCAAACGAACTGCATCAACTAAAAGTACCTATGCAAAATTTCAGCTCTATAGCTACTTCCGTTTGGACTCTATCGTGTTTTCAACAGACAGACTGACGGACAGACGGACGGACATGACTAGATCGTCTTAGGATCTAATAAGGACCCAGAATATATATACTTTTATTGGTCTTAAAAGAATATTTCAATGTGTTACAAACGGAATGACAAAAACAATATACCCCCCATCTTTTTTGATGGTGGGTATAAAAATGTTATAAAAGTATGTAAATGATTCTATGTCTCGTGAACTGTTGGGCTGCAGCAGTTGTGTGTTAAATTGCATTTAGCAAAAAAATGTATATATTTTTCTCTGCTCAGTCTTTAACAATTTTACAAATATTTACTTTTACCAAAGAGAGTCAAGTTATGCAAACATATGTATGCTCCATATGTATGTTTAAACGTCATAAAACGACGGACGAGCACTTTTGTAAAATAAACATTTTTAACACATTTTATATAAAAATATAATTCCTTTCTTAACGTTTTTTTTTTTCTGTATATTTATTTCGTTTCCTGTTAATTATGTAGACACTTTTTATAATGTTTGTTTTTTCGTTGCCTACACATTTATATAATCATATTCTCCACTAGTAGTAGTAGTACATGTATCACTAACACAAACTTTCTATCTCTATGCCTCTCTTTTTTCCTTCCCCACGCTTTAACATCCGTTTAAATGCTCACACATACATGTCCACATGAAAAAAACTATAAAACACAAGGATATGTGATGCTTTAGAAGAAATGTCAATGAAGGCAGGTGAACGTCCGGAAGAGACGGCAGAAGTTGTTGCATTACAAAACTATTTGGCAGAATGTCGAGATGAGAAAATATTTGCCATAAAAGATGAGATAAAAGTTGTATCAAAACGTGTTGTATTCCTGCTGACACACACAATATTAACAAGTAAGTAGCACAGAACTTAAAGGTTGCACAAAAAAAAAATGAAATGAATTATTATAATGAAAAAAAATGTAAGAAAAAATAAGGATTAAAACAGGATAATGAGTATTAAAAAGAAAACAAACTTTTCCATTTACAACAGCAAAAAACAAACAAAACAAAATGTTGTAAAAACAAACTGTAAGCGCGCTCATCATCTATTTGCAGGAGAAGTGAAAAAAAAAAAAATAAATAAATAAAATACAAGTGAAAGGAGAAAAGAAAATGGTTTCACTAAGTAGACTTTAGAAATTCAGGGAAAAATAAATTGTAAGTGTTAATAGTTGTAAAGAGAGCTAATTAAATTGTTTTTCAATGTATAGGAAGACTGTTGTAGTCCTTTTGCTAATAGCAACAACTACTATAGCAACAGCAGTAAGAGGAATGAAAAATAAACTAAAAAATTTAACTATTAAGCAATTAAATTGATTATGTTTGTCTGAAAAAATATGAGTTTTTTTTATAATCATTATAACTGTTAAAGCGAGTTAATAGATATATGTATTTATATATAATTATAATCTTACAAATTATAGGATTAAAAAATGCAGCCGACATTTCAAAACAATTACCAAAATAGTGGTAGTTCCAACTAGAACACTCCGATTGACTTGAAAATAGTAATGAACTTAGCGATTGATATAACCAATACAACAACAATGCTCAGCTACACAAATGAACCATTTCGAAATGTTTACTTTTTATTCCCACCATCAAAAAAGAGGAGGGTATATTGATTTTGTCATTCCGTTTGTAACACATCCAAATATTGGTTATAGACCCACAAAAGTATATACATATATATTCTGGGTCCTTATTAAATTCTAAGACGATCTAGCCATGTCTGTCTGTTTGTCCGTCCGTCCGTCTGTCTGTCAACAGCTTTAACAGGCATTACTGTTTTAAAAATACGACTATAGCGATGAAATCCGACATAAATAAGTTTCATATAAGCCAAAATCCACCAAATTTTATGAGGATCGGACCATAATTTACCCTACCCCCATAGAAGGTCCCTTTCACTTTAAATGCTCATTACTGGCTAAAAAATATGAGTATAGCGATGAAATTTGTCATAAGGAAGTTTCAGTTCTAGTTCAGTTCTAGTTCAGTTTTAGTTCAGTTTTAGTTCAGTTCTAGTTCAGTTCTAGTTCAGTTCTAGTTCAGTTTTAGTTCAGTTTTAGTTCAGTTCTAGTTCAGTTCTAGTTCATTCTAGTTCAATTCTAGTTTCAGTTCTAGTTCAGTTCTAGTTCAGTTCTAGTTCAGTTCTAGTTCAGTTTTAGTCCAGTTCTAGTTCAGTTCTAGTTCAGTTCTAGTCAGTTCTAGTTCAGTTCTAGTTCAGTTCAGTTCATTCTAGTTCAGTTCTAGTTCAGTTCTAGTTCAGTTCTAGTTCAGTTCTTTAAGTTCAGTTCTAGCTATTCAGTTCTAGTTCAGTTCTAGTTCAGTTCTAGTTCAGTTCGAGTCAGTTCTAGTTCAGTTCTAGTTCAGTTCTAGTTCAGTTCTAGTTCAGTTCTAGTTCAGTTCTAGTCAGTTCTAATTCAGTTTCTAGTTCAGTCTAGTTCAGTTCTAGTTCAGTTCTAGTTCATTCTAGTTCAGTTCTAGTTCAGTTCTAGTTCAGTTCTAGTTCAGTTCTAGTTCAGTTCTAGTTCAGTTCTAGTTCAGTTCTAGTTCAGTTCTAGTTCAGTTCTAGTTCAGTTCTAGTTCAGTTCTAGTTCAGTTCTAGTTCAGTTCTAGTTCAGTTCTAGTTCAGTTCTAGTTCAGTTCTAGTTTTTTCAGTTCTAGTTCAGTTCTAGTTCAGTTCTAGTTCAGTTCTAGTTCAGTTCTAGTTCAGTTCTAGTTCAGTTCTAGTTCAGTTCTAGTTCAGTTCTAGTTCAGTTCTAGTTCAGTTCTAGTTCAGTTCTAGTTCAGTTCTAGTTCAGTTCTAGTTCAGTTCTAGTTCAGTTCTAGTTCAGTTCTAGTTCAGTTCTAGTTCAGTTCTAGTTCAGTTCTAGTTCAGTTCTAGTTCAGTTCTAGTTCAGTTCTAGTTCAGTTCTAGTTCAGTTCTAGTTCAGTTCTAGTTCAGTTCTAGTTCAGTTCTAGTTCAGTTCTAGTTCAGTTCTAGTTCAGTTCTAGTTCAGTTCAGTTCGTCTAGTTCAGTAGTTCTAGTTCAGTTCTAGTTCAGTTCTAGTTCAGTTCTAGTTCAGTTCTAGTTCAGTTCTAATTCAGTTCTAGTTCAGTTCCAGTTCAGTTCTAGTTCAGTTCTAGTTCAGTTCTAGTTCAGTTCTAGTTCAGTTCTAGTTCAGTTCTAGTTCAGTTCTAGTTCAGTTCCAGTTCTGTTCTAGTTCAGTTCTAGTTCAGTTCTAGTTCGGTTCTAGTTCAGTTCTAGTTCAGTTCTAGTTCAATTTTAGTTCAGTTCTAGTTCATATAAGCCAAAATCTATCCACCAAATTTTATGAGGATCGGACCATAAATTAAACGCTCATTACTGGCTAAAAATATGAGTATAGCGATGAAATTTCTTGCGACGAAGTTTCTTACGAGCTAACACCTCCCTACTGACTTTTATGAGAATCGTCCCATAATTGAACCTCCATGGGTTCGTAAATATCGAAGTATTCCTTTTCGGCAATGATTTGAAGGGGACCATATATGGGGGAAGGGTCAATTATGGGCCGAACCTTATAAAATTTGGTAGAAAGATTTTGTCTTATATGAAACATATTTATGTCGGGTTTCATCGCTATTGTCGTATTTTTAAAACAGTAATGCCAGATAAAGCTTTTTTTCGAGGATCCACTTGTATGAGAGCTATCCGAAAACGTGGGCCAATATTGCCCATTTTCTATACCAAAACACTGTGAAAAGTAATATGTTCCCCTATATTGATGGTAACATATACAATATGTGCTTCATATCTTGATCTTAACATATATCCTTAGGGAAATCCTTTTATTCCTTTTTTTTTTTTTCTTATACAATTATTTTTTTGGTTTTATGATTTTTCAAGAGAGTTTAGAATTGAACATTAAATTCTATGCAATTTTTTTTCGTTCTTTTTTATATGTACATATGAATGTTTTTATTTAGATGAAGACATACATCTAAATACACGTACATTTATTTTACCATCTGAGCTGGAAGAAGTGCTGGATTTAAGTGCAGCTCGCTTAAGTGTTGTTCGTGATAATTTGGAATTCGCTTTGCGGTAAGTACCCACAAATGTAGCCAGGCACAAGTGGTAGGAGTATTTTTGTGTGCATTAAAGATATTTTTAACAGCAGTGCATTTACACTGGCAAAGAAAAATAATGAAAAAAATTATTTTAACTATAAAACAAATCTAAAAATTTTTTTTAAACAATGTAAACATTTGCCTTTATATTCGCCAGTGTAAATACTTTTCTAAATATCTCTTAACTATACTAAATTTAACTTTTGCGTCTGTTTTTCTTTCTTTACCCTAAATTAAATTTATTCATTCATTCACTCACTCACTCATTTATACGTTCGCATCCAGTGAAAAACGTATTAAATTCGAACAATTAATTTTATATGAAAAACGTCGTATGGATGGTTTCCGTGTTAAAGAAACACGTGATGTTCTTACTTTGGATGAGCTTAAAGAACGTGTCGAAACTGTCGATGAATTATTTGATATTATTGAGGTATGTATACCAGACTCCTACATAACTACCCACCTCCATTTCTGAACCAACTACAATGTCATCCATTATATTATAGTTGTTCTGTGTGCAATTTAGAATGTTGTTTTATTATGATTTATATGACTACTTTTTTTTGTTCTTCCATTCAATTGGTTTTACGTTTGTTTTTTTGGTTAGAAATTAAGTCGTGAAGCGAAAGCAATTAATGTTGAAGAACAATTGCTGCAAATAGATGTCTCACCGTTTGCCACACTCGTGGAAATTGTTGAAAAAATGGAGCCCATCGAGAAACTATGGAAAACGGCATATCAATTTGAAAAGGATCATGCAATATGGTGAGTGGAAAATAAATATATATCTTTTTTATAAAATGCAGATGAGACTTACTGATGCAATACAATACAAATTTATATCGATTGTTGAAGTTAAAAAGTTTAAGGTTGTTAAAAACATTGATAACATTGTTAATTACAAAAACCGGATAGTTCAGTTCTGATTGAGTTCTAGTTCAGTTCTATTTCAGTTCTATTTCAGTTCTAGTTCAGTTCTAGTCCAGTTCGAGTTCAGTTCTAGTTCAGTTGTAGTTCAGTTGTAGTTCAGTTGTAGTTCAGTTCAAGTTCAGTTGTAGTTCAGTTCTAGTTCAGTTCTAGTTCAGTTCTAGTTCAGTTCTAGTTCAGTTTAGTTCAGTTCTAGTTCAGTTCTAGTTCAGTTCTAGTTCGTTCTAGTTCAGTTCTAGTTCAGTTCTAGTTCAGTTCTAGTTCAGTTCTAGTTCAGTTCTAGTCAGTTCTAGTTCAGTTCTAGTTCAGTTCTAGTTCAGTTTAGTTCAGTTCTAGTTCAGTTCTAGTTCAGTTCTAGTTCAGTTCTAGTTCTAGTTCAGTTCTAGTTCAGTTCTAGTTCAGTTCTAGTTCAGTTCTAGTTCAGTTCTAGTTCAGTTCTAGTTCAGTTCTAGTTCAGTTCTAGTTCAGTTCTAGTTCAGTTCTAGTTCAGTTCTAGTTCAGTTCTAGTTCAGTTCTAGTTCAGTTCTAGTTCAGTTCTAGTTCAGTTTAGTTCAGTTCTAGTTCAGTTCTAGTTCAGTTCTAGTTCAGTTCTAGTTCAGTTCTAGTTCAGTTCTAGTTCAGTTATAGTTCAGTTCTAGTTCAGTTCTAGTTCAGTTCTAGTTCAGTTCTAGTTCAGTTCTAGTTCAGTTCTAGTTCAGTTCTAGTTCAGTTCTAGTTCTAGTTCTAGTTCTTTCAGTTCAGTTCTAGTTCAGTTTAGTTCAGTTCTAGTTCAGTTCTAGTCAGTTCTAGTTCAGTCTAGTTCAGTTCTAGTTCAGTTCTAGTTCAGTTCTAGTTCAGTTCTAGTTCAGTTCTAGTTCAGTTCTAGTTCAGTTCTAGTTCAGTTCTAGTTCAGTTCTAGTTCAGTTCTAGTTCAGTTCTAGTTCAGTTCTAGTTCAGTTCTAGTTCAGTTCTAGTTCAGTTCTAGTTCAGTTCTAGTTCAGTTCTTTCAGTTTAGTTCAGTTCTAGTTCAGTTCTAGTTCAGTTCTAGTTCAGTTCTAGTTCAGTTCTAGTTCAGTTCTAGTTCAGTTCTAGTTCAGTTCTAGTTCAGTTCTAGTTCAGTTCTAGTTCAGTTCTAGTTCAGTTCTAGTTCAGTTCTAGTTCAGTTCTAGTTCAGTTCTAGTTCAGTTCTAGTTCAGTTCTAGTTCAGTTCTAGTTCAGATCTAGTTCAGTTCTAGTTCAGTTCAGTTCAGTTCTAGTTCAGTTCTAGTTCAGTTCTAGTTCAGTTCTAGTTCAGTTCTAGTTCAGTTCTAGTTCAGTTCTAGTTCAGTTCTAGTTCAGTTCTAGTTCAGTTCTACTTCAGTTCTAGTTCAGTTCTAGTTCAGTTCTAGTTCAGTTCTAGTTCAGTTCTAGTTCAGTTCTAGTTCAGTTCTAGTTCAGTTCTAGTTCAGTTCTAGTTCAGTTCTAGTTCAGTTCTAGTTCAGTTCTAGTTCAGTTCTAGTTCAGTTCTAGTTCAGTTCTAGTTCAGTTCTATTTCAGTTCTAGTTCAGTTCTAGTTCAGTTCTAGTTCAGTTCTAGTTCAGTTCTAGTTCAGTTCTAGTTCAGTTCTAGTTCAGTTCTAGTTCAGTTCTATAGTTCAGTTCTAGTTCAGTTCTAGTTCAGTTCTAGTATCAGTTCTAGTTCAGTTCTAGTTCAGTTCTAGTTCAGTTCTAGTTCAGTTCTAGTTCAGTTCTAGTTCAGTTCTAGTTCTAGTTCAGTTCTAGTTCAGTTCTAGTTCAGTTCTAGTTCAGTTCTAGTTCAGTTCTAGTTCAGTTATAGTTCAGTTCTAGTTCAGTTCTAGTTCCGTTCTAGTTCAGTTCTAGTTCAGTTCTAGTCAGTTCTAGTTCGTTTCTAGTTCAGTTCTAGTTCAGTTCTAGTTCAGTTCTAGTGTCAGTTCTAGTTCAGTTCTAGTCAGTTTCTAGTTCAGTTCTAGTTCAGTTCTAGTTCAGTTCTGTTCAGTTCTAGTTCAGTTCTAGTTCAGTTCTAGTTCAGTTCTAGTTCAGTTCTAGTTCAGTTCTAGTTCCGTCTAGTTCAGTTCTAGTTCAGTCTAGTTCAGTTCTAGTTCAGTTCTAGTTCAGTTATAGGTCAGTTCTAGTTCAGTTCATAGTTCAGTTCTAGTTCAGTTCTAGTTCAGTTCTAGTTGATCTAGTTCAGTTCTAGTTCAGTTCTAGTCAGTTCTAGTTCAGTTCTAGTTCAGTTCTAGTTCATTTCTAGTTCTAGTTCAGTTCTAGTTCAGTTCTAGTTCAGTTCTAGTTCAGTTCTAGTTCAGTTCTAGTTCAGTTCTAGTTCAGTTCTAGTTCAGTTCTAGTTCAGTTCTAGTTCAGTTCTAGTTCAGTTCTAGTTCAGTTCTAGTTCAGTTCTTAGTTCAGTTCTAGTTCAGTTCTAGTTCAGTTCTAGTTCAGTTCTAGTTCAGTTCTAGTTCAGTTCTAGTTCAGTTCTAGTTCAGTTCTAGTTCAGTTCTAGTTCAGTTCTAGTTCGTTCTAGTTCAGTTCTAGTTCAGTTCTAGTTCAGTTCTAGTTCAGTTCTGTCAGTTCTAGTTCAGTCTAGTTCAGTTCTAGTTCAGTTCTAGTTCAGTTCTAGTCAGTTCTAGGTTCAGTTCTAGTTCAGTTCTAGTTCAGGTCTAGTTCAGTTCTAGTTCAGTTCTAGTTCAGTTCTAGTTCAGTTCTAGTTCAGTTCTAGTTCAGTTCTAGTTCAGTTCTAGTTCAGTTCTAGTTCAGTTCAGTTCAGTTCTAGTTCAGTTCTAGTTCAGGTTCTAGTTTTCCCATTTCCTAGTTCCTAGTTCAGTTCTTAGTTCAGTTCTAGTTTCAGTTCTAGTTCAGTCTAGTTCAGTTCTAGTTCAGTTCTAGTTTCAGTTCTAGTTCAGTTCTAGCTTCAGCTTCTAGTCAGTTCTAGTTCAGTTTCTAGTTCAGTTCTAGTTCATTTCTAGTTCAGTCTAGTCAGTTTCTAGTTCAGTTCTAGTTCAGTTCTAGTTCAGTTCTAGTTCAGTTCTAGTTCATTCTAGTTCAGTTCTCGTTTCAGTTCTTAGTTCAGTTCTAGTTCAGTTCTAGTTCAGTTCCTAGTTCAGTTCTAAGTTCGTTCCTAGTTCAGTTCTAGTTACAGTTCTAGTTCGTTCTTAGTTCAGTTCTAGTTCCAGTTTCTAGTTCAGTTTAGTTCAGTTCTAGTTCAGTTCTAGTTCAGTTTCTAGTTCAGTTCTAGTTCAGTTCTAGTTCAGTTCTAGTTCAGTTCTAGTTCAGTTCTAGTTCAAGTTCTAGTTCAGTTCTAGTTCAGTCTAGTTCAGTTCTAGTTCAGTTCTAGTTCAGTTCTAGTTCAGTTCTAGTTCAGTTCTAGTTCAGTTCTAGTTCAGTTCTAGTTCAGTCTAGTTCAGTTCTAGTTCAGTTCTAGTTCAGTTCTAGTTCAGTTCTAGTTCGTTCAGTCAGTTCAGTTCTAGTTCAGTTCTAGTTCAGTTCTAGTTCAGTTCTAGTTCAGTTCTAGTTCAGTTCTAGTTCAGTTCTAGTTCAGTTCTAGTTCAGTTCTAGTTCAGTTCTAGTTCAGTTCTAGTTCAGTTCTAGTTCAGTTCTAGTTCAGTTCTAGTTCAGTTCTAGTTCATTTCTAGTTCAGTTCTAGTTCATTTCTAGTTCAGTTCTAGTTCAGTTCTAGTTCAGTTCTAGTTCAGTTCTAGTTCAGTTTTAGTTCAGTTTTAGTTCAGTTCTAGTTCAGTTCTAGTTCAGTTCTAGTTCAGTTCTAGTTCAGTTTTAGTTCAGTTCTAGTTCAGTGTAGTTCAGTTCTAGTCAGTTCTAGTTCAGTTCTAGTTCAGTTCTAGTTCAGTTCTAGTTCAGTTCTAGTTCAGTTCTAGTTCAGTTCTAGTTCAGTTCTAGTTCAGTTCTAGTTCAGTTCTAGTTCAGTTCTAGTTCAGTTCTAGTTCAGTTCTAGTTCAGTTCTAGTTCAGTTCTAGTTCAGTTCTAGTTCAGTTCTAGTTCAGTTCTAGTTCAGTTCTAGTTCAGTTCTAGTTCAGTTCTAGTTCAGTTCTAGTTCAGTTCTAGTTCAGTTCTAGTTCAGATCTAGTTCAGATCTTGTTCAGATCTAGTTCAGATCTAGTTCAGTTCTAGTTCAGTTCTCATTCAGTTTTAGTTCAGTTACTATTTTGGTTTTAAATTTCCATCCCGAAAATATTTTTATTTACCGATATCTTAACTAATCTGTGATCACCACTACATTTTCTCGCTAATCGGTTTCTTTTGTCGTAAAAACTAAATGTAATATCCATAAAAAATTCAGCATTTTCTTACATTTCACTTATTTAATGACAAAAGCTAAACCCTTTAATAAAAGTTCGCATAAAAACTCCAAACACTAATGAAAAACGAACGATATTTATTGGCATCTTGAGAAGACATTAACCTTTATTTACTATCTTTTATTTATTTATACCTACTTATGATGCTCTAAAGAATATTTTATCTAAAATGGAAATTTATACTAAAAACCTAAGTATAAAACTGGCGTTTTTGCCTATTCATCGCCAAGAAAATGATTGAAGATGAAAACTCAACAATCGTAAAAGTAAAAGAGCAAGAAAAAAACGAAAGCTATCTACGATTTTAAAATCTTCTTCATCTTGTTTTATGGTTAAGAAAATTAAAAAAAAATAAAAAAAAAATAAAATACTATATAAAGTTATATACGAATGTTTAGCTATAAATGCAATCTGCACAATTTTATTCCTAAACGAAAAGTATGTATCTAATAGTGCACATTTACAGAGCAACACCCACACTTTTATAAACATATGTATGTATATATACACAGATATAGAAATATGTATGTATATAGTGTTATAGTTAAATTGCAGAAAATCAAGTGGTGTGACAAAATAGCCTTTTTCAATCTTTTATTTTTTTTTTTCAACATGATGTTAAAATGCTAAAGCCAGAATGCAGAATCATACTTAGTCATCCTGGTGATACAATTGACCTCTTTACAACTGAAAAAGCAATACAAGCATGTTGGGCTAGCGGCAAATTTGAGCATGATTTACAACATTTCTTCATTTTTCATTTTGTTGTTGTTTCTTCATGTTGGTGTGATTTCTTATTTTTTTTTTTTATTTTTTCAATTCTGGTTTGTTAAATGCATTTCTATACGGTTTGTTTTCTTATTTTTTCATTGCTTTTGCAAAAAACAAAATAAAAGTGCAACGATTTAGATACAGTGGGCGTAATTTAAACAAAGTTGAGTACGAACTTTGGAGGCAATCGGAATTACACGTTTCCTGTTAAATGCCCTGCAGATTTAGTTAGTTAGTTAGTTAGGTAGTTAGTTAGTTAGTTAGTTAGTTAGTTAGTTAGTAGTTAGTTAGTTAGTAGTTAGTTAGTTAGTTAGTTTAGTTAGTTAGTTAGTTAGTTAGTTAGTTCTAGTTAGTTAGTTAGTTAGTTAGTTAGTTAGTTAGTTAGTTAGTTAGTTAGTAGTTAGTTAGTTAGTTAGTTAGTTAGTTAGTTAGTTAGTTCGTTAGTTAGTTAGTTAGTTAGTTAGTTAGTTAGTTAGTTAGTTAGTTAGTTAGTAGTAGTTAGTTAGTTAGTTAGTTATTTAGTTAGTTTAGTTAGTTAGTAGTTAGTTAGTTAGTTAGTTATTAGTTAGTTCGTTAGTTAGTTAGTTAGTTAGTTAGTTAGTTATTAGTTAGTTAGTTAGTTAGTTAGTTAGTTAGTTAGTAGTTAGCTTAGTTAGTTAGTTAGTTAGTTAGTTTAGTTATTAGTTAGTTAGTTAGTTAGTTAGTTAGTTAGTTAGTAGTTAGTTAGTTAGTTAGTTAGGTAGTTAGTTAGTTAGTTAGTTAGTTAGTAGTTAGTTAGTTAGTTAGTTAGTTAGTTAGTTAGTTAGTTAGTTAGTTAGTTAGTAGTTAGTTAGTTAGTTAGTTAGTTAGTTAGTTAGTTAGTTAGTTCGTTAGTTAGTTAGTAGTTAGTTAGTTAGTTAGTTAGTTAGTTAGTTAGTTAGTTAGTTAGTTAGTTAGTTAGTTAGTTAGTAGTTAGTTAGTGTAGTTAGTTAGTTAGTTAGTAGTTAGTAGTTAGTTAGTTAGTATTAGTAGTTAGGTAGTTAGTTAGTTAGTTAGTTAGTTAGTTAGTTAGTTAGTTGTTAGTTAGTTCGTTAGTTAGTTAGTTAGTAGTTAGTTAGTTAGTTAGTTAGTTAGTTAGTTAGTTAGTTAGTGTTAGTTAGTTAGTTAGTTAGTTAGTTAGTTAGTTAGTTTAGTTAGTTAGGTAGTTAGTTAGTTAGTTAGTTAGTTAGTTAGTAGTAGTAGTTAGTTAGTTAGTTAGTTAGTTAGTTAGTTAGTTAGTTAGTAGTTAGTAGTTAGTTAGTTAGTTAGTTAGTTAGTTAGTTAGTTAGTTAGTTAGTTAGTTAGTTAGTTAGTTAGTTAGTAGTTAGTTAGTTAGTAGTTAGTTAGTTAGTTAGTAGTTAGTTAGTTAGTTAGTTAGTTAGTTAGTTAGTTAGTTAGTAGTTAGTTAGTTAGTTAGTTAGTTCGTTCGTTCGTTCGTTCGTTCGTTCGTTCCTTCATTCGTTTTAGGAAGCAAATGTACTCATATTTACCTAATGTTTTACGCGAAGATTAAGAGTTTTAGTCGAAGAAAATTTAAGATTTTTTACATCATTTCACTACATTTAAACCCACTGTCCGATGGTGATAATGTAAATGTTATTTTCCTTAATTTTTTTGTCTTGTTCTCGGTGTTTGTTGTTATTTGATTTCTGTTTTTCTACTACTAGTCAATGTTGATACTGATGCCATTTTATACTTGATGTATTTCTACAGGATGTACCAAAGATTTCAATGTTTAAATGCGGATGCCATTGCAGAGGAAGTCGAGAATATGCACCGGGTAAGTAGGAAGCAATTGATGAAAATAACAACATGAACGAACAAGTCATGAGAAAATAAACGTAACACTCTACTATAGTATATAAGAAAATTAGTAGACGAAAAAGGAAAATAAGGAATTTTTCCGACATGCTTAGGCGACCAGCTAGGACAGTAGGAGTGAAGTGTTGGTGTAAAGATCGGAAACATAACCAAACATATTCTATTGGTAGATTTAATTAAATTTTTAAGGCCCTGGAAGAGATGCATATAGTTCCTAATTATTGTGAATAATATACAATTAAAGGACAAAACTCTATTAATAAAATTAGAGCAATTTTCTTCTCATACAACCTAAACCTTTAGACATTAACTCAACACAAGAATAAATGTTTGTATCAAACAACACAGATTATAGTATACTTAACATTGTCATGGTCACAACCAACACAAACACATCATTGAAATACTGAACAATCATTTTCCAATGAACTTCCACTTTATGAAAATCCTCTTGGTTTTTGCTTAAAACTCCAGTAGTTTTCCTTTGTCATGTTATATCTGGTTCATTTGTTTTTGCTTTTATTTTTTTGAAATCCAACTTCATCTTTCTTCTTTTCCATGTAGATTGTTTACAAACTCTCACGTCAGTTGGCTAATAATCCCACGGCTAAACGTGCAGCGGAACAAGTACGAGTAAAAATTGAGAAATTTCGTGTCTATTTGCCGGTATTGGATGCCATATGCCGTCATGGCCTAGAACAACGCCACTGGGATATGATATCGAAATTTTTGGGCAAAGATTGCAATCCTGATTTGTATCCTTCCCTTAAGGATATGATAGATTGTGGCATTATGTCCATATTGCCGCAATTGGAAGAAATTTCAATAGCAGCTGGTAAAGAATATGATTTAAATCAAGTGCTCGATGGCATGAAAAAAGATTGGAAAGATGTTTGTTTTGATGTTTTGCAATACCGTGATTCGGATACACATATTTTGGCAGCATTAGATGATATTCAGACATTATTGGATGATCATATTATGCGTACGCAGGCTATGAAAAGGTCACCGTTTATAGCTGCCTTAGGTTCTAAAGCCGATGATTGGGAAAATCGTTTGACACTTATACAAAATATCATAGATACTTGGACTTCGGTGCAAATTACTTGGATGTATCTGGAGCCTATATTTTCTTCCGAAGATATCATGAGACAAATGCCTTTAGAAGGTCGCAACTTTAAGGCAGTGGATAAAATTTGGCGTCGCATTATGCGTAATACTGTTAGTGATTTACATGTTATGGCAGCCACCGAATATCCCGATATGTTGGAGATATTTAAAAAGGCCGTAGCTGATTTGGAGACTGTACAGAAGGGTTTGAATACTTATTTAGAACAAAAACGTTTATTTTTTGCTCGTTTCTTTTTCCTATCCAATGATGAATTGTTGGAGATTCTATCGGAGACAAAAGATCCTCTGAGAGTACAGCCTCATTTGAAAAAATGCTTTGAGGGGGTAAGTATTAGAGATTTTACATTTTGAAAGAAATTTTTTTTATCATAGTTTTGTTACAGATTTCTTTGTTGACCTTTGATGATAGCATGGAAATAACCCAAATGATTTCGGATGAGGGTGAAAAGGTGTCGCTTGTAAGGAAAATTAATCCACAATTGGCAAATGTAAGTATCAGATTTAAAACATATTAAATAGGTCTCATAAAGTCGAATGAAATTATGGATTTTCAGAATTGAATCATTCGTTTTTATATTAACAATATTCCGATTTTCGAAATTTTCTTTTCTTATAGAAAATTTTCGAAATTTTCTTTTCTTATAGAAAATTTTCGAAATTTTCTTTTCTTATAGAAAATTTTCGAAATTTTCTTTTCTTACAGAAAATTTTCAAAACTTTCTTTTCTTACAGAAAATGTTCGAAATTTTCTTTTCTTATAGAAAATGTTCGAAATTTTTTTCCTTATAGAAAATGTTCGAAATTTTTTTTCCTTATAGAAAATGTTGAAAATTTTCTTTTCTTATAGAAAATTTTCGAAATTTTCTTATCTTATAGAAAATTTTCGAAATTTTCTTATCTTATAGAAAATTTTCGAAATTTTCTTATCTTATAGAATATTTTCGAAATTTTCTACTCTTATAGAAAATTTTCGAAATATTCTACTCTTATAGAAAATTTTCGAAATTTTCTACTCTTATAGAAAATTTTGAAATTTTCTTTTCTTATAGAAAATTTTCGAAATTTTCTTTTCTTATAGAAAATTTTCGAAGTTTTCTTTTCTTATAGAAAATTTTCGAAATTTTTCTTTCTTAAAGAAAATTTTCAAAATTTTTCTTTCTTATAGAAAATTTTCGAAATTTTTCTTTCTTATAGAAAATTTTCGAAATATTTCTTTCTTATAGAAAATTTTCGAAATTTTTCTTTTCTTATAGAAAATTTTCTTTTCTTATAGAAAATTCTGGAAATTTTCTTTTCTTATAGAAAATTCTGGAAATTTTCTTTTCTTAATGAAAATTCTGGAAAATTTCCTTTTTGAAGAAAATTCTGAATTTTCTTTTTTCATAGAAAATTCCTGAAATTTTCTTCTTCTAGAAATTTGCATTTCTTATAAAAATTTTCTAAATTTTGTCCTTTTATAAAAAATTATCACTTTTATTTCCGTAAAATTAGAATATATTTGAAAGATCTATTGTTTATACCATTCAGGGCTTAGTCGAACTATGGCTCAAAGAAGTGGAGGCCACAATGTTGGACAGTGTCAAAGAACAAATGAAATTTGCTTGGGAAGATTATTTCATGGTTGAGCGTATACAATGGGTGGTTTCATGGCCAGGACAAGTGGTATTAGGAATATCCTGCATGGCCTGGACATATGAGGTAAAGTCTATACATACTGTTGAGTAACATAACATAATCGTATTCCTTTAATAAGGTGGAAGAGGCTATAGAAAACAATACCCTACCACAATATCTCACCAAATCAACAGAACAGATAGCAGATCTGGTTAATCTAGTGCGCACAGATTTAACCAGTAATACAAGAATAACTATAGAAGCCCTTATAGTGTTAGATGTGCATGGTAAGTAAACTTAAAATAATAATTAAGTAGTTATTTATGTAATCCAAATTTTTAGATCGTGATGTTGTCTCTTATTTGGCGGACAACAAGGTGTCTTCTCTGTTGGATTTTGATTGGATGTCACAATTACGCTACTACTGGAAAGTTACAGAAAGTAAGTTATACCGTATTATTTTATTAACCAACTAATATTTATTTTAATTTCCTAGAACGCGAGGAATGGGTATGTGTTAGTATGGTTGTTACTGACGTCAAATATGGCATGGAATATTTGGGCAATACACCACGTTTGGTGGTAACACCATTAACAGATCGTTGTTATAGGTATGATGGTCAATGCTAAAAAAATATAACCTTAATATACAAAAATAACTGTCACAAGCCTATTTTAGAAATGACATTTAACAGAAAAAAATATGGTTTTAATTTCAATATTCTGATAACACAGTTTCCTTCTTATAACAACAAACACATAAATTATAGCTTGACAATGCATTAATATCCTCAAGGCTGACAGGATATGGGTGAAACAAAACGAGAATATTTTTGTGTAAAAGTCAAAACAAAAAAGACATCATTGACAGTTATTTTTGTTAAATATATAAATGAAATAATATAGCAACATACTTGTTATGTATGTTGATTTTTCTGACATATGTATGTATGTACTCATTGTTTTCTTAATTCAGGACACTAATGGGCGCTTTGAAACTTTGCTTAGGCGGTGCACCGGAAGGACCCGCTGGTACTGGTAAAACAGAAACTACCAAGGATTTAGCAAAATCTGTAGCTAAAAAATGTGTAGTGTTCAACTGTTCAGATGGCTTAGATTACAAGGCTTTGGGTAAATTTTTCAAGGTAATTTTATTGATCTAAGTGAATTTATTTAAATTTTGTAATAAGCTAAAAGTAATAACTAAAACTAGTAACGACGCTGACGGTATTTTAAGCGACGAACGGTTTTGTACTCGTAGCCATTTTCTCCCAAAACAGCGGAATCCTCAGGTTCTTCGGCAGATTTTAATTCAGCAACAGCTTCGGTGCTTACTTCTTCAGCAGGAGGCAGATATTCATTAGCGATTTCGGAGACATCACGACGTTGACGATACTTCAAGCGACGCACAGTTTTGTATTCGTAACCATTTTCACCCAAAACGGCGGATTCCTCAGGTTCTTCTGCAGATTTCAATTCAGCAACAGCTTCGGTGGTTTCTTCAGCTGGAGGCAAGTATTCACTGGCAATCTCGGAGACATCACGACGTTGGCGGTACTTCAAACGACGAACAGTTTTGTATTCGTAACCATTTTCACCCAAGACGGCGGATTCCTCAGGTTCTTCAGCAGATTTGAATTCAGCTACAGCTTCAGTGGTTTCTTCAGCTGGAGGCAAGTATTCATTGGCAATTTCGGAAACATCACGACGTTGACGGTACTTCAAACGACGAACAGTCTTGTATTCATAACCATTTTCAGTCAAGACGGCGGATTCCTCAGGTTCTTCAGCAGATTTCAATTCAGCTACAGCTTCAGTGGTTTCTTCAGCAGGAGGCAAGTATTCACTGGCAATCTCGGAGACATCACGACGTTGGCGGTACTTCAAACGACGAACAGTTTTGTATTCGTAACCATTTTCGCCCAAAACAGCGGATTCCTCAGGTTCTTCAGCAGATTTGAATTCAGCTGCAGCTTCAGTGGTTTCTTCAGCTGGAGGCAAGTATTCATTGACAATTTCGGAAACATCACGACGTTGACGGTACTTTAAACGACGAACAGTCTTGTATTCATAACCATTTTCACCCAAGACGGCGGATTCCTCAGGTTCTTCAGCAGATTTGAATTCAGCTACAGCTTCAGTGGTTTCTTCAGCTGGAGGCAAGTATTCATTGGCAATTTCGGAAACATCACGACGTTGACGGTATTTTAAACGACGAACAGTCTTGTATTCATAACCATTTTCACCCAAGACGGCGGATTCCTCAGGTTCTTCAGCAGATTTCAATTCAGCTACAGCTTCAGTGGTTTCTTCAGCAGGAGGCAAGTATTCATTGGCAATTTCGGAAACATCACGACGTTGACGGTACTTTAAACGACGAACAGTCTTGTATTCATAACCATTTTCACCCAAGACAGCGGATTCCTCAGGTTCTTCAGCAGATTTCAATTCAGCTACAGCTTCAGTGGTTTCTTCAGCTGGTGGCAAGTATTCATTTGCAATCTCGGAGACGTCACGACGTTGGCGGTATTTCAAGCGACGAACAGTTTTGTATTCGTAACCATTTTCACCCAAAACAGCGGATTCCTCAGGTTCTTCAGCAGATTTCAATTCAGCTACAGCTTCAGTGGTTTCTTCAGCAGGAGGCAAGTATTCATTGGCAATTTCGGAAACATCACGACGTTGGCGGTACTTTAAACGACGAACAGCCTTGTATTCGTAACCATTTTCACCCAAGACAGCGGAGTCCTCAGGTTCTTCAGAAGATTTCAATTCAGCTACAGCTTCAGTGGTTTCTTCAGCAGGAGGCAAGTATTCGTTGGCAATCTCGGAAACATCACGACGTTGGCGGTACTTCAAACGACGAACAGTTTTGTATTCGTAACCATTTGCACCCAAGACAGCGGATTCCTCAGGTTCTTCAGCAGATTTCAATTCAGCTACAGCTTCGGTGGTTTCTTCAGCAGGAGGCAAGTATTCGTTGGCAATCTCGGAAACATCACGACGTTGGCGGTATTTCAAGCGACGAACAGTTTTGTATTCATAACCATTTTCACCCAAGACAGCGGATTTCTCAGGTTCTTCTGCAGATTTCAATTCAGCTACAGCTTCGGTGGTTTCTTCAGCAGGAGGCAAGTATTCATTGGCAATCTCGGAGACGTCACGACGTTGACGGTATTTCAAGCGACGCACAGTTTTGTATTCATAACCATTTTCACCCAAGACAGCGGATTCCTCAGGTTCTTCAGCAGATTTCAATTCAACAGCTTCGGTGCTTTCATCAGCAGGAGGCAAATACTCGTTGGCAACTTCTGAAACATCGCGTCTTTGACGATACTTCAAACGTCTTAAGGTTTTATAACGATAACCGTCATCGGCTAATAAGGCCGAGTCATCATTATTAGTAAGATCCAAAGTAACAGTGTCTTCTGATGGTGGTAAATATTCATTAAGTGGACTATCGATGGCAGCTGAAGCTGCTACGGCTATAATAGCAAAAGCTACCACGAAAATTCTCTGCAAAAAGGGAAATCAATTTTAAAGTTTTTGTGTGTAATTGAAAAAAAAGAACTTACCATTTTAATGTTTTCCACACAAGCTCTTATATTAATTATAAATTAGAGAAGACACTCTCACTTTTTTTGCGAATATGTATTCTAGTCGAAAGACTAAGCTAGAATGAGATTTGCAATCAACTCAAACACTTTATATACTTACAAACTGTAACAAACATAACTTAACGGTTTGATCTTTTGATACTGTTTAACCTCTTAAATGCTGTATTGCCACACACAAACTGACACACACTCGCTTAGTTTTCTGAAGTGGCCTCTTGTTAACTGTACTTATTAATTGATTATCCATTATGCTAAACAAATGTTGGCATCTAACCTTGATAACACGAATACGTTAAAGTATTTTAACTTCATTAGTTACAGAAGAGCCTCTTCACAACAAACCACTTGAGAGCTTTTATCAAGTGGACCTTATAATGATGACAATGGATAGATGGATGAAAGGGAGGAAGCACTGAAATATGTAGGCATTTATATAGCAAGTTTTCAAATTGTTATAGTTTCTTTAAAGTTTGACGATGATGTTCAAACAATCGGATGAAATTATAATTGACTCTTAAGTTTTTTAATCTCAATGAAATAAAAATTAGATGACATGAAAATGTGTCAGAAAAAAGATAATTAGCAAAACTTTTGTTTTAACTGGGAATAACGAAAGTAGAACACTTTTATAAAAAAAAAATAATTGTTGTGAAAATAAAATGACAGTTTTAAGACCTCAATTATACCGTTACTAGCAAACATTTTATTTATCTCGAAATAAGTAATAATATATCTAAAATACAATATTTAAATATTATTCATATGTTACTGTTCACATTTTTCACAATATCCCTTTCTTAAGGGTTTAGCACAATCTGGCGCCTGGGCTTGTTTCGATGAATTCAATCGCATTGAATTGGAAGTATTGTCTGTGGTTGCTCAACAAATATTAACCATACAAAGAGCGATTGGTAGAAAAGTTGTTAAATTCTTTTTCGAAGATACAATGCTACGTTTGGATCCAACATGTTCAATATTCATAACAATGAATCCAGGGTAAGTTTTTAATATGCTGCATATAGCAAAATCTATCTGTATATAGTTATAAACCACAAATAGAGATATAATCGAAAAGTAGCAACAAATAGAAAAAGAAAAAAAAACTAAATCTTGTTTATAACAAAGGAATTGTGTTATCTGTCAGAGTTGTTAAAGTATTAATTCGTTTTATTAACTATTAGGCATGGATATGGTATCTTTCATTAAGGTTTTTGAAAAAAAATGCTTAACAATTGGCTCAGATATTACTCTGAGTAATCGGGCACCTCATATTTGATTTTCACTCCTCCATGATTAGTTATTTTTCTCGCTACTACTTTAGCAGCTGCTTGGTGGTTCATAAATATCGATTCGCTATCGTTTTCGAATGGGCGGGCATACCAAATTCTAAACTTAGTGATATGAACACTGTGTTACTAATGGAAAACACTCAGGGTTACTGAAAGTGTAGTGACCGAAATTATATACAGCCTGGCTAATGAACAACACTCGTCGTTTTCGAAAGTGTTCATAAACATAGATTCGTTATCGTCTTCATTAACTCGACATTTCACGTACCAATTTGGAGTGGTGACATTATTGGTAATCTTTTCGGAAATGCTGCTGCAAACTCCATCTTTTTTCAAGGGCGACAAGAATATTGAAGTGCTTTACGTGAACACATGCCTTGACGGCCTTAGTTCACGGTGGTATTTTTTATCTACTGGGTAGAATTGGGACGAAATGACAAATAGCCTCATGCTGCTCCGACAGTCGCAGAAGTACTGGACGAATCAGAAGGTAGTGGTCTGCGAAACCCCAACAAAAGCACCTGATGAATCTATTATCTCGGGATTGACACTGAGATGGACCAACCGGTATACATATTATCATGAGCGACACCGTAGCGTCCCCAATCTCCAATGATCCGCGCAGGTTGATTACGCCTCCCTCAGCCGCACAACCACCTCACACAATGCTCCATCGCTTAGGAAATCGGAAATACTCCGCCAATAGATCAGGATCCGTATGTCTTGATAATGTGACAAAGGATGTAGGAATTTCCAAACGAACCCGATAATTGCGGCCCTCAACCATAAGTCGCGCAGCATGTATCAATATGCATCCTATTGAGGTGGCAACAGCACTGAAGTAAGAGGCATATTAATTAAATTTCACCAACTTCCATCACTTCATTCTCAAATCATAAAGAACGATCAACGGATTGACAGGCAATTACTGAATGTCATCCTGATAATTACCCAACTGATACTTGCGCCCTACTACACGAAGAATAAAAGATTCTCAATGGCTTCAGAAATCCAGCATAAGTTTCTCTGTCTAATCACCCAGTGACATTGAGATGGCAATAGCACCGCAGAGAGAGTCCAGAGATATATTGCTTTTGAATATATCAGTCCTCAAATCAACATTCTCTGCACAGCCACTTCGTGGATCCCGGAGGAACCCTCTACCAAATCACCAACTAGGACAAAGTCCTGCGGGCAACTGACCAGCCGTAGTACCAGATTATCTGGCGCTCTGTTTAGACCCCATGTCAAATCATTCCAAGGAAAGACCGAGGATGCATTTTATCATCACCAGTTTATAGTCCCGGCTGTCAAGGGCGGCAGCTACAGAACCACGTTTATTACAATCGTGCCCAGTTGGTTCGCCAATAGTTCTACCAGCCACTTTAATAAAGTCATTTGGCAGTCTCGTCTCCCAATGATGTAATTACCGCATTTTGTTCTTGATACAATCGTGGGTTAAAGTGTTGCCACAAGCGCCAGTATCCTAAAACTGGAGCAATTTTTAACTATCGGCTGATCAGGGTTATTCATCTTTAGTGTCCAGCTTTGGCCAGAAACGCAAATTGCGAAAAAAGAACATTGGTTAAATGCATGTTGTATGGTTTGAAGGTATTGTTAGATTTATATGTTGTTGCCGAATCAAAAGATGCCACCTCGGAGTTGTGGATGAACGGCTTCGGTTAAGTAGATGTCCCTTAAAAGAAATTCAACAGTCTGTGGTTCGATAGGAGGCACAGCAGAGTTGACCCGTGTCGTTTTTTGAGTGGCTTTGAATTGCATAGTGATAGTTTGCTCGAGTTCTTCCGATGAGTCGTGTACATATATAAAATGTCTCTAACAGCGTTCTTTGAAGCATTCTGGGATGGTGGTTGATCGTTTTAAGTCTACACTTGTTGTTAAGTCCTCGCGAACTGGTACACGCGTTAAGCCCCATCTCGTAGCTGCAATTTGATCGCATCGAACTAATAGTCCAGAAACAAATTCTTGGATAGAAACAGACGAAACAGAAGTCCTGGCGAATTAAGCACCATTTCGTAGCTGCAATTTGTCCGCATCAAACTTTTTCTTGTTAGGTGTGCGAATACAATCCACATACTTAAGCTGAAAGAAAAATCCATTTCCTTTTACGACACATTGCTATAGCGAATACAATCAAAGCCTCTCCAAATTTAGCGCCTAAAAGTAAATTACAAAATAGCTATCAAACTCCTTCTAAGCTCTGTTTATTACTTTACACATGTTTATTTGTATGTATGCAAAATAAATGGAAGAGAAGAATAAACCAACAAAAACAACTATGTATGTATGTCTTATATTTTTTTTTTAATTTCGTTGTGTCAGTGTATGTACGTACATATGTATGTGTTTATTTTTTGTCATTTAGTTTATTCTAGTGGAATTTGTTTCATCTTTTTAATTTTTTTCTATTTTTGCTTTTCTAGTTTCGTATCAACTCGTTCTCATCCTTTTTATATGTGACTAAATGTTGATACAGCAGTTTGTTTTGTATACACATCTTTTTCCGGTTGTTGGTATTAAGTTTGAATATGAATGTGTGTCTGTGTGTGTGTGGGAATAGGAATGAGAATGTTTTCTTTGTATTGTTAGCGGTTTACAAACAATGTTTTCGTTTCTGTTTCAGTCGTCTTTGAATTGTTGTTTTTTTCTCTATTTTGTTATAGTTGTTGCTGGCACTGTTGTGCCTTATTTTGTTAGTGCATACATGTGCATGTATGTATGACTTTAATCGTCCTCAATTTTTATATATCCTTGCATCCGTTTTCTTTCATTTTTCCTATATATTTTTTATTTAATTTTTTTTTTTTTGCTCAGTTTCAAGTTTATATAAACAATCGCACATACATATGCACAGAGAGTTTTCTAATGTCGTTTTTTGTATCGTTGTCGTCGTCGTTTTTGTTGTGTTATTAAGTTTGATTCCCTTTTACTTTGCTTAACGTTGCATGCTTTTTACATATGTTAGCATTTTTATAACCTTTAAACCATCACAATAGGCAAACGCAACTACAACCAAAGATTGGGGTCCTGTGAACATGTTGAGCGGTTTGAATCAGCATCAACTAAATATAATATTGTATGAATATTAATGTTGCTCTTTAACCCTTTCGATTAAATTAAATACAATTTTCTTGAAATGTAAAGAAATTAAAGGGTTTCTTTTTCTCCCTCTATAAAACTATGCAATGAGAGCTTAAATCTGAGGAGAAATAATTAATTTAGTTAAAACTATCGAATATTTGTTATAGAAGAAAATTTATCAAACAATTTTTATAAAGAATTAATTTATTGAAAATTTTCCATAACGAACAAATTTTTCCCAAATTTCCATTAGAGAGAAAATTCATCTAAAATTTTTATTAAAGAGAAAATTTATCCCCAATTTTTATTAAAGAGAAAACTTATGCCAAATTTTCATTAAAGAGAAAATTCATTGCACATTTTCATTAAAGAGAAAATTCATCGCAAATTTTCCATAAAGGAAAAATTATCGCTAATTTTCTATAAAGAAAAATGTATCGAAAACTTTTTTATAAAGCGAAAATTTATAAAACATTCTCCATAAAGAAAAAATTTATCGAACACTTTCCATAAAGAGAAAATTTATAGCAAATTTTCTATAAAGAAAAAATTTTCTATAAAGAAAAATTTATAGAAAATTTTTTATAATGAGAAAATTCATCAAAAAATTATGTTAGAGAGAAAATTTATCGTAAATTTTATATAAAGAGAAAATTTATCGTAAATTTTATATAAAGAGAAAATTTAACGTAATTTTCTATAAAGAGAAAATTTAACGTAATTTCCATAAAGAGAAAATTTATCAAAAATTTTCTATAAAGAGAAAATTTATCAAAAATTTTCTATAAAGAGAAAATTTATCAAAAATTTTCTATAAAGAGAAAATTTATCAAAAAATTTCTATAAAGAGAAAATTTATCGAAAATTTTCTATGAAGAGAAAATTTATCGAAAATTTTCTATGAAGAGAAAATGTATCGAAAATTTTCTATGAAGAGAAAATGTATCGAACATTTTCTATAAAGAGAAAATGTATCGAACATTTTCTATGAAGAGAAAATTTATCGAACATTTTCTATAAAGAGAAAATTTATCGAAAATTTTCTATAAAAAAAAATTTATCAAAAAAATTCTATAAAGAGAAAATTTATCGAAAATTTACTATAAAGAGAAAATTTATTGAATATTTTCTATAATAAGAAAATTTATCGAAAATTTTCTATAATGAGAAAATTTATCGAAAATTTTCTATAATGAGAAAATTTATCGAAAATTTTCTATAAAGAGAAAATTTAACGAAAATTTTCTATACAGAGAAAATTTATCGAACATTTTCTATAAAGAGAAAATTTATCGAAAATTTTCTATAATGAGAAAATTTATCGAAAATTTTCTATAAAGAAAAAATGTATCGTAAATTTTCTGTAAAGAGAAAATTTATCCAAATTTTCTATAAAGGAAAAATTTATCGAAAATTTTCTATAAAGAGAAAATTTATCTGTTATCTTTATAGAGAAAATTTATCGAAAATTTTCCATAAAGAGAAAATCTATCGAAAATTTTCTATAAAGAGAAAATTTATCGAAAACTTTCTATAAAGAGAAAATTTATCGAAAATTTTCTATAAAGAGAAAATTTATCAAAAAATTTCTATAAAGAGAAAATTTATCGAAAATATTCTATAAAGAGAAAATTTATTGAATATTTTCTATAAAGCGAAAATTTAACGAAAATTTTCTATAAAGAGAAAATTTACCGAACATTTTCTATAAAGAGAAAATTTGTCGAAAATTTTCCATAATGAGAAAATTTATCGAAAATTTTCTATAAAGAAAAAATGTATCGTAAATTTTCTATAAAGAAAAAATGTATCGTAAATTTTCTATAAAGAGAAAATTTATCGTAAATTTTCTATAAAGAAAAAATTTATCGATAATTTTCTATAAAAAGAAAATTTATCGAAAATTTTCTATAAAGAGAAAATTCATCGAAAATTTTCTATAAAGAGAAAATGCATTGAAAATTTTCTATAATGAGAAAATGAACCGAAAATTTTCTATAATTAAAAAATTTATCGTAAATTTTCTATAATTAAAAAATTTATCGTAAATTTTCTATAAAGAGAAAATTTATCGTAAATTTTCTATTTAGAGAAAGTTTATCGTAAATTTTCTATAAAGAGAAAATTTATCAAAAAATTTTGTTAGAGAGAAAATTTATCGAAAATTTTCTATAAAAAGAAAATTTAACGAAAATTTTTTAAAAAAATTTTCGAATCTCCTTAAGAGAAAATTTATCGAAAAATTTCTATAAAGAGAAAATTTATTGTAAATTTCTATAAAGAGAAAATTTATTGTAAATTTTCCATAAAAAGAAAGTTTATCGTAAATTTTCTATAAAGAGAAAATTTATCAAAAAATTTTGTTAGAGAGAAAATTTATCGAAAATTTTCTTAAAAGAGAAATTTATTGAAAATTTTCTATATGAAACGATCGATCATTTCTCTTCAGACCCTTAAAACGTAGTGTATGTCTAAAACAACCTTAATCGCCTTTAGCTCATGTCATTGCTAAAGCAATTCTATTCAAGCATTTAAAGCTAACGAGTTTGAAATCACAAGCTTCATGTATAAAAGTATCTCTATAAATATTTTTACCAAATATGTATGTGTATCTGTGATTTTGTATTTTCTATCTCAATTTTTTTCTAAGTCTTAAGCATTGTTATAAGCATTTTTTTCGTATGAAAGTATTTTACAAATGAAAGAGTTCTATAATGAGTTCCAAAGTTTAGTCTATTTGTTTATTTTTTAGGTTGTTTTTGTTCTTTTGTGCCCTAGAAATAAAATTGTTTGTTATAGTTTTTTAATAGATATTTATTTAAAAAGTTTATTTTGTACATTTTTTTTGCACAACAAAAAAGAAACCTCGTTAAAATTGTGCAAAACTCCTGTAAATGTTACTGTGTGTGGGATAGTATATTTTGTTTTTATTATTTTTTTTGGGGGGAAATGATAACATTTCCCAACTATTACACCCACTTGTTACATGTTACTTATTAAAGGTTTTTTTCAAATTGTTCAAATCTAAAGTTTAGTTTGTTTTAATGTCTTTATTTAAAATGGTTTTTAGTTACTCTTCCATACGAGTGTTATGAGTTCGGGCGTATGTTTTCTTGTGGCTGTTGTTGTGTTTTAATTTTTTGCTAAAAAGGAAAATGTTAAAGTTTCCTTTTTAACAGAAAACAGAAAAAAAAAGCCGCCAGGATGTGGAAGGAAACAAGTGGTTTGTTAAACAAGCTACACTTACACAAATAATCAAGATATGTTTGTATGTACATAGGAAGACTAATTCTATGTTAACAAATTACATTTTGTCCTATGTAAATAGAAATTTGTTGAACATTTTACCTTTGAGATGAAAAAAACAAAAATAAATAAATAAATATTAGAACTTTAATTTGGAAATCTTTTATTAATCAAAGCCAAAACCACCTGATGAAAGGATAAGTAGATGTTAAGTAATAATAACGATGAGTTGATGGTAAAAGGTTTTGCAATAAAACAACGAAAACAGGAGTATAGAAATTCATTAAAAATAGATAATTTTTTCAAAAAAAATATTTATAGAAAAATTTCAAACACAAAAAATCTATAGAAAATTTTTTTTATAAAAAGATAATTTAGGGAAGGAATATATAGGATAATTTAGGAAAGATAATTATCGAAAATTTTTGATAAAACAGAATTTATCAAGAATTTTCTATTAAAAGAATTTTATCGAAAATTTCCTTCAAATGGAGAATTAATCAAAACAGGATAAACTTATCGAAAAAAATTTCCTATAAAAAGAAAATTTATCGAAAACTTTCTATGAAGAGAAAATTTATCTAAAATTTTCTTTAAAAGAGAATTCATCGAAATTTTCTTTAAAAAGAGAATTCATCGAAATTTTCTTTTAAAAAGAGAATTTACCGAAATTTTCTTTAAAAAGAGAATTTACCGAAATTTTCTTTAAAAAGAGAATTTATCGAAAATTTTCTATAAAAAGAGAATTTACCGAAATTTTCTATAAAAAGAGAATTTACCGAAATTTTCTTTTAAAAAGAGAATTTACCGAAATTTTCTTTTAAAAAGAGAATTTACCGAAATTTTCTTTTAAAAAGAGAATTTACCGAAATTTTCTTTAAAAAGAGAATTTATCGAAAATTTTCTATAAAAAGAGAATTTATCGAAAATTTTCTATAAAAAGAGAATTTATCGAAAATTTTCTATAAAAAGAGAATTTATCGAAAATTTTCTATAAAAAGAGAATTTATCGAAAATTTTCTATAAAAAGAGAATTTATCGAAAATTTTCTATAAAAAGAGAATTTATCGAAAATTTTCTATAAAAAGAGAATTTATCGAAAATTTTCTATAAAAAGAGAATTTATCGAAAATTTTCTATAAAAAGAGAATTTATCGAAAATTTTCTATAAAAAGAGAATTTATCGAAAATTTTCTATAAAAAGAGAATTTATCGAAAATTTTCTATAAAAAGAGAATTTATCGAAAATTTTCTATGAAAAAAGAGAATTTATCAAAAATTTTCTATAAAAAGAGACTTGATTAAAAAATTTCTATGAAGAAAAAATGCATCGAAATTTTTCAAAAAAAGAGAATTTATAGAACATTTTCTATAAAAAAGAGAAAAATTCTTACAAAAGGAGAATTTGTTAAAAATTTTCAACAAAAAGAGAATTTATTGAAAGTTTTTAACAAAAAAGAGTATTTATGGAAAATTTTGTATAAAAAGAAAATATGTTCGAAATTTTCTTTAAAAAAAAAAAAAATTTATTGTAAATTTTCTATAAAGAGAAAATTTATCGCAAGTTTTCTCAGAAGAGAAAGTTTATTGAACATTTTCTATAAAGAAGAAATTTACCGCTAATTTTCAATAAAGAGAAAATTTATCGTAACTTCTCTATAAATAGATAATTTATCGTAAATTCTCTATAAAAAGAAAATTTATCGTAAATTCTCTATAAAGACAAAATTTATCGTAAATTTTCTAGAAAGACAAAATTTATCGTAAATTTTCTAGAAAGAGAAAATTTATTGTAAATTTTCTAGAAAGAGAAAATTTATTGTAAATTTTCTGTAAAGAGAAAATTTATCGTAAATTTTCTATAAAAAGAAAATTTATCGTAAATTTTCTATAAAAAGAAAATTTATCGTAAATTTTCTATAAAAAGAAAATTTATCGTAAATTTTCTATAAAAAGAAAATTTATCGTAAATTTTCTATAAAAGAAAATTTACCGTAAATTTTCTATAAAAAGAAAATTTACCGTAAATTTCTATAAAAAGAAAATTTATCGTAAATTTTCTATAAAAAGAAAATTTATCGTAAATTTTCTATAAAAAGAAAATTTGTCGTAAATTCTCTAGAAAGTGAAGATTTATCGTAAAATTTTTATAAAGAGAGATAAATAATCGAATTTTTTTTTCAAAGAATATTTTCGAAAAAAAAAACGACTTTCCCAACTTATCATACATATTTTAATAAAAACAATTTTGCTCAAATAATTCTCTTCACATTTCTGTTGAAATTCTATAGTTACGCTGGTCGCACTGAATTACCTGATAATCTCAAGGTATTATTTCGTACAGTGGCCATGATGGTGCCTGATTATGCAATGATTGGTGAAATTACTCTCTACTCGAATGGTTTTTACGAGGCACGTCAATTGTCGCAGAAAATCGTTCAGGCGTATAAATTGTGTTCGGAACAGTTGTCATCACAATCTCACTATGATTATGGTAAGTAGTAGTTACATGGAAGGGTGACCTTAGTTTTTAAAATAATACATATGTATAACAAAAACACGTAAACAAAGTAACTATGTACTAACTGTTAGGGGTTTAATAAAATAAATAGAGTATTAAACAATCTCACTGTCAAAAAAAACCTAATTATACGAGAACAGAATTTAAAAAGATTTTGAGATTTTCTTAAGGCTTTAGTGCAAGAAAATGTGGATAAAAAGTAGATAAAAGTTAACAATCACAAAAGAAGGTTATTTATCTACTTAATGAAGTTTAACACAATCTTCGGTATTCGAACCAAATCTTGATTTTTCATGAAATTTTATATGGAAAATTTATCGAAAATTTTTCATAAAAAGAAAAGTTATATACAATTTTGTATAAAAAGAAAATTTATCAAAAATTTTCTATTAAAAAGAAATGAAAATGTTCTATAAAAAGAAAATTTATCGAAAATGTTCTATAAAAGAAAAATTTCTCGAAAATTTTCTATAAAAAGAAAATTTATCGAAAATGTTGTATAAAAAGAAAATTTATCGGAAATTGTCGATAAAAAGAGAATTTATTGGAAATTTTCTATAAAAAGAAAAATTATCGAAAATTTTCTCTAAAAAAAAATTATCGAAATGTTCTATAAAAAGAAAATTTATCGGAAATTATCTACAAAGAGAAAATTTATTGGAAATTGTCTATAAAAAGACAATTTATCGAAAATTTTCTATAAAAAGAGAGTTTATTGAAAATTTTCTAAAAAAGAAAAAATTATCGAAAATTTTCTCTAAAAAGAAAATTCATCGAAAATGTTCTTTAAAAAGAAAATTTTTCGAAAATTCTCTAAAAAAAAGAAAATTTCTCTAAAAATTATCCCTAAAAAGAAACTGTTCTATAATAAGAAAATTTATCGAAAATATTGTATTATAAGAAAATTTATCGAAAATATTGTATAATGAGAAAATTTATCGAAAATATTCTATAAAAATAAAATTTAGCGAAAATATTATATAAAACAAATTTTATCGAAAATGTTCTACAAAAAGAAAATTTATCGAAAATGTTCTACAAAAAGAAAATTTATCGAAAATGTTCTACAAAAGGAAAATTTATCGAAAATGTTCTACAAAAAGAAAATTTATCGAAAATATTCTATAAAAAGAAAATTTATCGAAAATGTTCTATAAAAAGAAAATTTATCGAAATGTTCTATAAAAAGAAAATTTATCGAAAGTTTTCTATAAAAAGAAAATTTATCTAAAGTTTCCTATAAAAAGAAAATTTATCTAAAGTTTCCTATAAAAAGAAAATTTCTCGAAAATTTTCTCTAAAAAGAAAATTTATTGAAAATTTTCTCTAAAAAGAAAATTTATTGAAAATTTTCTATAAGAAGAAAATTTATTGGAAATTTTCTCTAAAAAGAAAATTTATTGGAAATTTTCTCTAAAAGAAAATTTATTGGAAATTTTCTCTAAAAAGAAAATTTATTGGAAATTTTCTCTAAAAAGAAAATTTATTGGAAATTTTCTCTAAAAAGAAAATTTATAGAAAATTTTCTCTAAAAAGAAAATTTATAGAAAATTTTCTCTAAAAGAAAATTTATTGGAAATTTTCTCTAAAAAGAAAATTTGTCGAAAATTTTCTCTAAAAAGAAAATTTGTCGAAAATTTTCTCTAAAAAGAAAATTTATCGAAAATTTTCTCCAAAAAGAAAATTTATCGAAAATTTTCTCTAAAAAGAAAATTTATCGAACATTTTCTATAAAAAGAAAATTTATCGAACATTTTCTATAAAAAGAAAATTTATTGCAAATTTTCTATAAAATTAAAATTTCTCTAAAATTTTCTAAAAGAAGTAAATTTTCTATTTAAAGAAAATTTCTCAAAAATTTTCTATTAAAAGGAAATTTATCTAAAATTTTCTATAAAAAGAAAATTTATCTAATATTTATCAAAAATATTATATAAAAAGAAAAATTTATCGAAAATTTCCTTTAAATATTTATTGATGGAAAATAACGAACAAATTTAAATATATAAATAAATATTAATACGTAAATAATTATTTTTATTATTATATGAAAGTGAAATGAGTCAAAAATAAATATAAACTTGAGAAAACAAGCATCCACAATAAATTAAATCTTTTGATTATATTTCTGTTTTATGTATTTTTGTATGCAAAAGCAAAAAAAATAAAAAATTGTATGTGTAAATGTTGTTATAATTATGTTAATAAAACTTTTATAATGATATTTTATGTTAAAATATTCAATACGCTGTCGTTACGCTCAATATGTATCTTGTACTTTAACTTTTTGTTATAATTTTCGTTGTCTTTAGCTGAAAAATAAAGTAATGTTTTTTTTTTTGTTTTGTTTTCTGTTCTTTAACTTTAAGGTATGCGTGCCGTAAAATCTGTGCTGTTGGCTTCAGCATCATTGCGTCGCATGTACCAAAGTTTGCCCGAAGCACAAATTGTTTTACGCGCCATTGTTGATGTAAATTTACCGAAATTCTTGGAACAAGATGTTTCATTATTTGTTGGCATTTACACGGATCTCTTTCCCGGCATCGAATTGCCAATGGTAAGTTATTTATTTATGTATGTCGTCAGTGTACTTTAAAACATATTTCTTTTTTTTATTTTATACATTCATTTTGTTGTTGTTTCATTTTTGCCTTTTTTGTAAAAGCGAAAATTTTTTTTTATGAATATTTAAAATTATTTTACAAATATGAAAATAATTTAGCTCAGGAAATTTATTTAGAAAAACAAATATGACACTTTTAATGGATGTTAAAAGCAGCAAAAAAAAATGAAACAAAAAAGATGTCTTTAATTTGAATTTCTAAATTGTTTCGATGGAAATTAAAAGATACAGCAGGGCTCTCATATGGGTATCATGTTAAAAGAAGAAAATTGTTGATTCCTTTAGGATAACGTATCTTTGCCAAAATTTTAAATGTACCGAACATTTTTCGTTGTTGTTTTAGCAAATGAAATCACTGTTTTGAATTTGAAATTGTTATTTAACAAGTCATTTGGTTTGATTTGGTTTTGTAAAAAAATGAAATTACATTTGCTTATTTATTTAAAACAAATGTCTGGCGAATGATGTTTTCTGAATACAAATTTAAACAAGGTTGTATTTTTCTTTAAGAAGATAAAACTAAAACAAGATTGTGAATCAAAACTTATATTGATTCAAAAAGTATCAGTTAGTGGCAGTGTTAGTTATTTATTTAGTTAGTTAGTTAGTTAGTTAGTTAGTTAATAGTAGTTAGTTAGTTAGTTAGTTAGTTAGTTAGTTAGTTAGTTAGTTAGTTAGTTAGTAGTTAGTTCGTTAGTAGTTAGTTAGTTAGTAGTTAGTAGTTAGTTAGTTAGTTAGTTAGTTAGTTAGTTAGTTAGTTAGTTAGTTAGTTAGTTAGTTAGTTAGTTAGTTAGTTAGTTAGTTAGTTAGTTAGTTAGTTAGTTAGTAGTTAGTTAGTTAGTTAGTTAGTTAGTTAGTTAGTTAGTTAGTTAGTTAGTTAGTTAGTAGTTAGTTAGTTAGTTAGTTAGTTAGTTAGTTAGTTAGTTAGTTAGTAGTTAGTTAGTTAGTTAGTTAGTTAGTTAGTTAGTTAGTTAGTTAGTTAGTTAGTTAGTTAGTAGTTAGTTAGTTAGTTAGTTAGTTAGTTAGTTAGTTAGTTAGTTAGTTAGTAGTTAGTTAGTTAGTTAGTAGTTAGTTAGTTAGTTAGTTAGTTAGTAGTTAGTTAGTAGTTAGTTAGTTAGTTAGTTAGTTAGTTAGTTAGTAGTATAGTAGTTAGTTGTTAGTTAGTTAGTTAGTTAGTTAGTTAGTTAGTAGTTAGTTAGTTAGTTAGTTAGTTAGTTAGTTAGTTAGTTAGTTAGTTAGTTAGTTAGTTAGTTAGTAGTTAGTTAGTTAGTTAGTTAGTTAGTTAGTTAGTTAGTTAGTTAGTTAGTTAGTTAGTTAGTAGTTAGTTAGTTAGTTAGTTAGTTAGTTAGTTAGTTAGTAGTTAGTTAGTTAGTTAGTTAGTTAGTTAGTTAGTTAGTTAGTTAGTTAGTAGTAGTTAGTTAGTTAGTTAGTTAGTTAGTTAGTTAGTTAGTTAGTTAGTTAGTTAGTTAGTTAGTAGTTAGTTAGTTAGTTAGTTAGTTAGTTAGTTAGTTAGTTAGTTAGTTAGTTAGTTAGTTAGTTAGTAGTTAGTTAGTTAGTTAGTTAGTTAGTTAGTTAGTTAGTTAGTTAGTTAGTTAGTTAGTTAGTTAGTTAGTTAGTTAGTTAGTAGTAGTTAGTTAGTAGTTAGTTAGTTAGTTAGTTAGTTAGTTAGTAGTTAGTTAGTTAGTAGTTAGTTAGTTAGTTAGTTAGTTAGTTAGTAGTTAGTTAGTTAGTTAGTTAGTAGTTAGTTAGTTAGTTAGTTAGTTAGTTAGTTAGTTAGTTAGTAGTTAGTTAGTTAGTAGTTAGTTAGTAGTTAGTTAGTTAGTTAGTTAGTTAGTTAGTTAGTTAGTAGTTAGTAGTTAGTTAGTTAGTTAGTTAGTTAGTTAGTTAGTTAGTTAGTTAGTTAGTAGTTAGTTAGTTAGTTAGTTAGTTAGTTAGTTAGTTAGTTAGTTAGTTAGTTAGTTAGTTAGTTAGTTAGTTAGTTAGTAGTTAGTTAGTTAGTTAGTTAGTTAGTTAGTTAGTTAGTTAGTTAGTTAGTTAGTTAGTTAGTTAGTTAGTTAGTTAGTTAGTTAGTTAGGTTAGTAGTTAGTTAGTTAGTAGTTAGTTGTTAGTTAGTTAGTTAGTTAGTTAGTTAGTTAGTTAGTTAGTTAGTTAGTTAGTTAGCTTAGTTAGTTAGTTAGTTAGTTAGTTAGTTAGTTAGTTAGTTAGTTAGTTAGTTAGTTAGTTAGTTAGTTAGTTAGTTAGTTAGTTAGTTAGTTAGTTAGTTAGTTAGTTAGTTAGTTAGTTAGTTAGTTAGTTAGTTAGTTAGTTAGTTAGTAGTAGTTAGTAGTTAGTTAGTTAGTAGTTAGTTAGTTAGTTAATTAGTTAGTTAGGTGGGTATTCCTCTCTAAATTCGTCTTATTTTTCTCACATAATTTCGCTTTTAAAAGTATGTGCATGTGTGCAATGATGGTATTATGTTACAATCAACAAACTGTAACCCAAAGTAAAATATACTTAACTTTTTGTTAAAAGAATTTCCTTCAGTATTCTATTGAACATTTTAAA